TTGTTTTTTTGAATCAACGCGTCTCTGTGTTAATGGACCACTCCTATTGGACATTTAAAAAAAATCATTTGTACCTTACAGAGCCATTATATTTTAGGTGAACAAATTTCATCAACATTTTCAGCGTCTTCAGCCCTATCATTATCATCTGAGAATGAAGAAACAGGACAACCAGCTCCTCCTGCTCCGAAACGGCGACGAACAAGGAAAAAAAGCAGCAATAAGCACAAGCACCCGTGAGTGTACCGCGAAATTTTCAAATAATGAAGAAGAACTCGGTACTGAGATATCTACAGAGAGCAAAGAGCTGGATTATATATTTTTGGTGACTCCTCGAGCAGTGATAGCGAGTTGGAAAGCGATGAGTTTGTCTGGAAGTCTTAAACCACAATTCTTGTACATACGGATTGGTATGGTCATAGATAATGGAGGGAGGTCGTCCTTCTATTATCTATAGTATGGTAGATTTGGTATGGTAGACAGGGACACTTGGCGGACAACCATTGCGTGTGCCACGGCGGGTCAGCCTTGACCCTTCCGTTACTGATGATGATGGTAGATTTAGAAAAATTCAAATATAATTTGCTGTAATTTCCATTGCTGTGACTTCGAACTTGACACAGTTTTCATAAGGGTAGGCCTAGTTGCACAAAAACAAGCTTCAACAACGCTTCTACATGAAGGAATGCGTTTCTGTATCATAAAACACATGTTCTTAACAAAAAATAAGTGAAGTCCAAGCAAAACATCGTTTTATGTCATGATGACGTCATTTCTAAAAATAACTTTAGGCAAAAATTCAGTCACTTACATGGAATTCCCTGCCTATAAGTACAAACAACATTATATTGATAGGGTTAAGGATAATCCTTCTAGAAAGCCTATAGAAGCAAGCGATTGACATTGCCCACGAAACACACCAAGGATCGTCAAAAACCAAAGCACTACTACGAGAAAAGGAAAGGTTTTACGGGATACAGGAACTTGTTAAAAAACGATAGATTCCTGTCTTGCATGCCAAACAGTAAATCTACCATCTCCGCCTGAACCAATTCAACCGTCTGCTATGCCAGAAGAATCATGGCACACAGTACATGTTGATTTCAATGGACCACTGTCATCTAATAATTATCTACTTGTCGTAATTGATCATTACTCACGTTATCCTGAAGTTGAGGTTATTCGTTCAATGACAGCATCTGCGGTGATTCCTAAATTTGACAAGATATATTAAAGTCAGACAATGGCCCACCGTTTAGCAGTGATGAATTTGCCAGATACCTCAAAGCATTAGAAATTACAGACAATCTTGTTACATTCTGTTGGCCCCAGGCCAAGGGTGTCGTTGAACGCTTTAATCAGCCTTTGAGTAAGACACTCCAAACGGCAGTTGTGAAAGGGAGGATACGGAGGCAAGAGCTTAATCGATTCTTGCTGCAGTATCGCACCACTCCACACACTGTCACAAAGGTTGCACCATACGAGTTATTGTTTAATCGGAAGGTACATGGAAAACTTCCCATAATTGACAACAAAGTGGTGATAGACAGACACAAAGAAGCCAGGGAAAACGAAGAAAGAGCCAAAATTGTCACAGACAACAAAAGAAATGCTACAAAAGCACAAATATAGTTCGCGATACAGTAGTTGTTAGACAACAACGAAGAAACAAGCTGTCTACACGGTTTAATGAAACTCCATATACCGTTATCAGCAGAAAAGGCACTCGATTAGTTGCAGAAAATGATAAAGGACATCGAATTACCAGAAGCGTGTCCCATTTCCAGAAGTTCAATGCAGACAAAGTTAACCTTGCAGATGAAAGAAGTACAGATTCAGAAGATAAAGAATACAGGTCAAGAACAGGAAATAATGATAGCAAAGAAAAGGAGCAAGTGCAGGGAATTGAAGCCCAACAAGAAAGGCCAAGAAGAGAAGACAATGACGTTCACCAGTAAGGTTTAGTTATCCCATTCCTTAACAGCTGGTAACATTAACAAACGTTTTTGATTGACATTTACTTTCTAATTTGTTTACATACATACTTAATTTTTTAAAAAGGGGAGGTGATGTAATAGTGTACTGTGCTTATTTACTGTACTGATATGCCCCTTATTCTAACGGACTCGTATACGTGCATGTAACCATTTACGTAGTTTTGGATTGAATTGAATCATGAGTTAGTTGTTGGTGTGTTCTGTTAGAGTTGAATCGAAAGTAAAATGAGAGTCTTTTATCTTGCATCCCCCTGCGGTAATCTATTACACTTGGTCTTGTGCTAAGAGGAGAGGCAACATCAAAGGCATCATCAGTTGATTGTTTCCTTTCTGTGAAGCTCTTTCGTAGTGATGTTCGTCGTGTTTACTTTGGCATTTCTTATGAAACTTTGCCTTGTTGGTAACCACTTGCTTCATCTGTTAGAGTGCTTTTAGCAGCTGGTCAAAGCTTTTTTCCGACTTCTTTTGACAAATTAAACAAATAGCCCAATTGTGCAATGTGTGATACCAGCATGAAACTTGGCGGAGATAGGCAGTTCGTTAAGCTTAGAAAGACAGGATGTGGACCTAACCTGACAGAAGCCCCTTTATGCTATTTTTAGACTAGGGTAATAGGCTCTATCCTTCCAATCAATTTTGAGTCTGAAGCGTCGAGGTTTAACATAAAGAAACTAATTAGCAATAATGTCGCTCATTACCCTTTTAAAATATTTGAAGAGCACAAAATTTTTGAGAAGAAAGAAAGTCCAAAGTTTATTATAAACAATTGCAGGTGTCCAGTTAATGCTGTTTGTAATCATGTATGAAGTTTTACGTAATAATTAATCATTTTCAATTGTTATATCGAATTGAACAATGGCTACTGAGCTCTCATGAGCAAGGATGATGACGCTGAAAGTAAATGACCCCCTGTAGAAGACGCCTAGCTACCATGACTCTGATGTATCACGAGGAATTTTTGTGCCTGAGCAAAAGATATGACCCGAAAAGATATTTTTAAAAAACTTTTAACCACGATTCATATAAAATAAAATGTTACTATAATGTCACAGAAAAAGTTCACTCGATTAGATCCTGTCGTTGACTTTGAATCAGCTACTGCCCCAGGATCAGCAAACGAAGATGTCGACTTTGATTTGTTTTTTATGTGCTAAGAACCCTAACTACTAGTAAGACCTGTAGCGCAAGGGTTTCCTATTTTAACAAAAATTATTACAGATGGAAAGAGCAGAAATTTTGAAAAATTTTGACTACTTGATTCATATTGGAATGGATTCTCAAAATAATATTATCACTAGATGAAAGAGTCGTTATCGCCAGCCTGAATTTGTTTTTGTTTAAAAGGGCAATCGATAGTCGAACTGCCCGGATACTTTTGTGTGGGTGAGGGGAGTGTGTGCATTCAAGCATTCAAGCATTGGAGCATTAGTTTTTTGAAAACTGGATTGAGCAATATCGCAATGAATTGAAGAAGACAGACTTGGAGGCTCCGTTGCAGTGCAGAACATTTGGTCCAAGACGTTTGACTTATTCTTTGAAATAATGAGAAAAATGAGCAGTCTTAGACACTCAAGCATATAGTTAAATATCTGCGAGTTAACTTTACAGAAATCTTACGAGTTTGTGCTAAGAAAAGCTTCTTTTACTGCAAATAGACAGGTATTTGTAAGTACAGGGTACACCTACTCTAAGGTCCTTAATAGAAGGGGGGTCTTGATAGTTGGGGGGTCAGAAATTTTTCAAAAAATAAATAAGCGGGGGGGTCCTACTAAGAGGGGGGGTCGGAAATGTGAAAAATCTGAAAAATCACGTGATGATTCTTTTTTGGGATCAAATGAGATTTTCCTCTGAATACAATCGATAGAAAATGACAATTATCACCATTTAATAATGCATTCTTATATTACTAAAATGAACAGGCTAATTATTATTGTGTACATCAGCCAGGCCTATGTAAATTTTTTCGGATAAAATAAAGGATATGAATGATTGCATATAAAAATTAATAAGCGGGGGTGGGGCGGGTTCAAATAAGCTCCGGTGGGGTCAGAAAAAAATCGAAAAATTAATAAGCGTCCCCCCCTTCTATTAAGGACCTTAGAGTACAACCATAGCCCATTTTTCGTGCTTTCACAATTTTCGATAATGTTTATTAATAAAAAACTTTCATATAGTATGACTCTACCTATATAAATTTTTCATCATTTCTTATCTATACAGTCATGAACTCTTATACAGCTTGTCACAGCCTTTTTAATTTCGTTAGTAGAAAACAGTAAGCGGTGTTACTGCCGGTTCGTTGTGTACAGTAGTACAAAACTTTGGCTCACCTAGAGTGAAGTTAATAATAATAGAGTTAATAAACTAAATGTGCTTTTTCCGGAAATTTAAGCCTTTCCAACTTGGAGCACAGAGCCATATTAAAAAATTGGATAGCTTAAATCTTAAAAATATTCCCTTTACGAGAAAGGGCATTGCCGTCGTTGGTCAAAATCGGTGGAAGTTCACGAAGGGCCTAGGCATCCCGTGCGGTAGTGTAGAAGAGTGAATATGCAATTATAACGCCTAGTTTTCTTTCGAAAATATAACACTCCCGGATGATGGCTGGATGATTTATATCAGATAACATAAATCTTAAAATGTTTCTTTGTTTAATTAACGAAAGCTTCATAGGGAGTAAATCAGGGGGTAGGCTTCTTTAGGGGTAGAGCGGTGGAGGGGAATGGTCGTGTTTCATTGTAAAACAAAATGGAAAACAATATGGGAGTACATTCTAAAATATAACACCAAGTCAGTGGAACAAGCAATTGAAAAGAACAATGGGATAAGGAAAGTGATCAACCAAAGAGAAGGAAACAAAATACTGATACCAGAAATAAAGGAGCAGGTGGTACCGTAACAACAAACCAGAAAAGAATCGTAGAATGATGTGTAGAGGTCTATCAAGTGTTGTGTTCGAGCAATGGAACAGAAGTTATTGAAAAATTTCATAATGCAAAGCCCTTGTTGAAGTAACAGAAATTTTTTTTCTTACCTTTTTATCACTTAAGTACTTACTTTTTTGGAATAAAGACAAGGTTTAAATCTGAAAAACAGTGCTTTAAAATGATACATTGAACAAAAAACGTGCTAATAAAACAATAAATCAATAACATATACAATCATAAAATGCATATGTACATTTTGTACAGTCATTCCTCAAAGCCATAGCGTTTACATTTTTACCTCAATGTAAGCAGCATTGGCGTAAAATACTTCCGCAGGAAATTTATGTATTAAATGAGATTCTAAGATATAATTCGGTCTAAACCAATTCTATTTTTGCAAAAAATAGTTCGGTTTACGAAAAATAAGAAATTAAAGTGCAGCTCAAGACTGAAGTTTGAGAATTTTTCTATTTAAAACTGAGCCTCGTTCGTTTCTTGGTATTGTTGTTGCTGCAGCTCCATTTGTTCGATTTCTTTCATTTGCTGATATTCATCGAATCTGAAGTGAATTCTTCCGTCTTCTCGATCTTCTTCACCACTGTCAGAATCCTCCCCACTCTGCGATGCGATACCAGATTCTGCACGGGACCCAGCACGATAGTCAGCCGACTTTCCCTTGAAACCTTTTAGAGAATCTGGTGAAACCTCTCCACTAAAAAGATTGTCAAGATCTACCTTCTTCATTTCCTCTTGATGCTTCTTCATGGCAATCTCTGCAAGCATTCCAAGCCCTGATGGTTCATTTCTGATTCAAAACAGGAAATGAAACATTGATCAGTTGATTAACAAAAGTAAATTCGCACATTTCAAGATAAAAGATTGGATTCTTCTATCAACTTTATACTGATTCTTCTATCAATGATGAGATTTCCACGGCTTAAGATTAATAGCACAAATGCAGGATATCCATATTCAACATGCCGTTCAGTGGCCATTAAAAAAACAGTCATCGTGGCATCATTTTGATCTATTCAAATCAAATAGGATAGTTCCGAAGTATGCCAAGAAAATTAATTGAGACAAGTAGAAGGTTTCAGAGGTACTCTTTCTTGCTGGATTTTATTGCAAAATAGGCAGATAAAGCAAAGGATAGTAGTTATTCCCTCTAAAACAAAGACTAATAGAGCGTGGAGGAGATCTAGCTAGTTCTGTAGCTTAGTAGCAACATTTCTCGTTAACCAGGTGCTGACCAATTGAAGGAGTTTGCACAAGCGCTTACTGAAGTGCAACAGAGGCCAACAACACATCAAACAAATGTGATTTAAATGGAAAATTTGACAAATAATTTAACAAAGTACGACACAAAATGAATCTAATCTTATCGTTTGACAAGCTTTAGAATTAGGGGTAAGAAAAATTTTTTCTGAAGGTGCAACTCACGGTTCATCTGAAGGTGCTACTTTATTTGTTTGAACCATTGGTTGCTAAAAAATATAAAGATTAAGTGAGAAAAAAGAGACAAAAATAAACCTTGAGTGAACATAGTGATACCTTGACACTTGATTTGGTTTTTAGTTTGAAACAAAGGGAAGGCAAAATTATTGTGACGCGTTTGATTATAACGGAAATTGTGCCTGTTTGGAAAGGATGTTATCTAAATTAAAAACCTTTTCAATATGTACTTCTTGTGTCAAATCAAACGGATAGAGGGAAATTATTTTCACAACCTACCTCTCTTGTTAGGATGCAATAAATTAGTAATATCGAGAAGCACTGCAACGATAAAAAAGGAAAGAATTTACAAGTTGGCTTCTTTTATTAATTTGCAGATGTCCTTGGTACCAGAGTCTCAATTATTTAGTCTCAGAAATAAAGTTATAAATTGCTCATTCTTTGCCACCGCAGCTGCCTAGAATACTTTTTCCTCGGATTTATGAGGCTGTGGTATCCAAGGTAGTCTACAGATTGGGATGAAATTTAGAAACACTCTATTTTATCACTATACTCAACTGTATCCTTAATTCCATTAAAAAAGCTAGAATTTAGAAAACAAAGGAAAAAATATTTTACTGATAAAGGGAAAGGACTGATAAAGCTTGACAGCGGTGTCCCTGGAGAACGGTTATCCGATTCTAATATTCATACAATAAGTAAAACATTTTTACGGAATGGAAATATGGGCGACTATAAATCTGTGGCAAGCTCTCCTAACACATCTTGCTTAAACGAAACTTTTAACAACTGCGAAAAATGACCCTACCTGTAAAATGTTGCACAGGGAAAATAGATACTGGGCACCATATTGACCAGTCTGCACCGCTCGTGCGCCAAATACCGCGGCAAACAAGCAGAACACTGTTGTAAACATGTTCTTTAAGCACTTTTCCCTTTTGAAAAGATAGTTTTGTTATAATTAACAAAAAAACACAGAGTAAGCATTACACTGATAAACACACATCACACACCACATAGGCAAATATTCCAGAATTAGTTTTGCAAAACACTGCAATAATTTTACTTACTGTAACAAAATGCCGTTTTCTATGCTGTTTGCGTGATAAATTGTTACCAAAAGAAGGACGACACTTCCCTGAATGAAAGAAATTAGAAATGCACAATATGAGAGGCATTCTAAAATTAGAATATGAGCCAAAATCTCAAGCGTAAAATATGGAATATGAATGAGAACATCGAGCTTAGAAAAGTCAACGAAATAAAGGCAAATACCATAGCCAGTGTACAGACAGAGCCTGAGTAGCCCCAGACCGTGGTGCCATTGAACAAGATCCAGCACCTGAAGTGAAAAAATTAACTTGATCTGAATTTTTTGTGGCATAATTTTGAATCTAGGGTTTGGATTCTAGAGAGAATGTTTTGAACTCATAAAATTAAGCTTGTCTGTAAAAATCGACATATTTATAATGTATTATCAGCTGATGTTAATGCTCTAAGAAGTGACAGTCACAAAGTATCATTGCTTCAATAAAAGCTTGTTGTTTAAAACCATGAATAGATTTTAAAGCATCACAAAAATGTTTATAAATCAATCTATTTCTTTAAAATTATGCCTTTTGACAATTGAAAATTTGATTCACTTGCTCCATTTGAGTTAGAAACCAATTCTATCCTAGCAAAATGAAATCTGAAATAGGCCGTCCAAAATCAATATGGGACATTTCTTAAAGCAAAAACATCATTGTTTAAGGAAACGTACATTCTTTCGTTTGTTATCCTCTTGAAATTCAAACCAGTCACTGTCAGCGTCACTAAAAACGGGATCCCTGTAAAATATCAAGTTAACTGCATTTATGGTTGACTGCATCGATAGTGGTATAGGTAAAGCAAGCACCATATCTCCATAACTGTTTATAATAATCGATAAAAAAACTTTAACAATTACGACAAGATTCCGGCAAAAATAATCAAAATAGTTTGATATAAACAAAACTTTTGAAAAACATTTAAAATCAAAATCCAGCAAAGTGTTTACTACATACCATAGCCCATCGCAAGATATATTTTGTAACTATTGTATTTCCTTGAATCAAAAATTGGTGAAATTCTACTCTGAAGAAACAGCGTGTAGATGAATAACCAAAAAAACACCGTTTGCAGAAAGTAGTAGAAAAGAAACGCCATAAAAAAACAGCTGCCCTGTGAAGAAGAACGTTTCATTTGATCAATGAATAATTTTTTTTGGCAAGACATCAGATCTGTCTGTAAACATAGGCTGATTAGACGAATGGTTTTGATTTCATCTAACAAAACACTGAAAAGCTCCATTGAACTGAAAGAACTGCTGACAAAAGTGAAGCAACTGCAGTGCATATTTTTAATGTAATTAAAGAAAAAAATTATTAGTAAGCAAGACCAAAATCGTCATTTTGTTACAGTGGTATAGTTTCCCTGCAATTATAAAGCTATTACTGATTGGTGCTACTTTTACTCTTCAAAACCTGAAAGCTCTGATCACTGATAAAAATTAAACAATTATCAAAAAAGAGTTTAAAACTAATGCCTTGATTTCATTCGGTAGCGATTTACCATAAAAAAGATTTAAACGAATTAAGTGAAATATTCGTTTATGACTTCAAGAGCAAAAGACTTTCGTATGGTCGAAATTATGATAACGCGAATTTCAATAAGTTATTTATGTACCGGGCTTGCTTGCATATGAAATGTGACAGATGAGAAAACCATTTCCGTAATGAGCACATTGAGGACAACATGCATTTGAATAATCCTTCCCGAGTCGTAATCCCTAAAATAATGCAAATTAAAATTTAAACATGCATCTCAGTCAAATTTAAACATGCATCTCAGTCAAATTTAAACATGCATCTCAGTCAAATTTAAACATGCATCTCAGTCAAATTCAAACATGCATCTCAGTTGTATACTAAAATCATCGTAATCATCACTGTTTTATAAATGGTCTAGCCATTGTAAAGAGAAGGACGACCACTTTTTTGCTTTTCACGTTTTCAACCATAGTTTCTAGAATCGCTATTGCATTCTTGTCTTTTGCAAAAGGGAAGGTATTATCATCCAAGGGTCGAGAGAGCGGGGGGCTGAAGGGGCTTGAGCCCCCCTCCCTCCACAAATTTTTACGGAATTTTTACTGACACACACACATTTTGAAATCAAAGCAGGTATACATAGGAAGCGGGTTAAGGAAAAGACCTTTTGCTTTCAGACACGATCTAAGGCCTTGGAGATGTCGCTAGAGAATACTCTTTTTGAGAGCAGCAGACCAAACATGAGCGTAACCTTGAACGGCAGATCTCAGCAGACAAAACCATACCATCGCACTGAAAGAAGTTTCATGTTTCAAGGGAGTTATAAAGTTGTTCGGTTATAATTTTTTTCATTGTGAGAGTATGGTTTGGCATTTTGTGATAGCTGGCGGTACCAGATTTGTCCACTTTGTGAGGCCAGATTCGAATACTATACAGTACTGGGATTTATTTCTGATTTACGTTAACGTGTGTTATGTATTGAAGGAGTCACATTTACGAAACAGGACATTTACGAGACATTAATGCAAAAACTTACTTGTCTATTAGAATTGTCATGAAATATGGAATCCAGTTGTCTTTGAAGGTCAAGAAGATAAGTGTTCCAATCAGGGTTAGAACCACAAGTATTAATGATATCAAGCAGTTGTTCCCAAGTTTGAAAGCAATTTTCGGTTTTGGTGGAGGCTGTAAAAGCAGCAAAGTAAGATTTTCATCACCAGCGTTTTTACAATGTGCAAGCATCATAACTTTAACAAATCACGGCAAAACCAGAATTTTTTAAATGATTTGCCAAAAATTCCCGCTGCGGGAACAATGAAAATTTAGAATCGATTCATAATTTAAAATTTTTAAAAGTGTAAACAGAAAAACCCGTTTTGGTCGAATTCTTCATATGATGGCACTGCATTATATAATCGTAACTTGCAAAAAGTGAAAAGAACTCTGGGGCAGCTCTGCAAGAAAATCGCTTTTTATACAAACAGCGTGTTGTTTGGTTAGAAACTTGCAGCAAATTTGTGTCTTTGCTCTACAATTAAATTTTTAAAGTGCGGAAACGAAGTGAAGAGCTGAGCTTGATATTTGCTATGTAAAACACGAATGGACTCACAAAATAAGGTCTATCTCTTCCCAGCACCGCTACAATGCCATAGGGCCAACATTTGCAAACTGTGTGTGTTTTGTTTGTTAATGCAAGCGTACAGCCATGAGGAGACCAAGTTGTTCCACTGGAAATAAAAATCAATGTGTGTCAAATTTGTGTTTATTTGCATTCAGGATATGGAAAAGTGAAAAATAATTAGCAACTTAATACGATAGTGACTTTCTTTGCTGAATGTACATCCTGGATGGTATCATTTTGTCACAAACGTTCAATTCTGATTGATTCTATTGAAAGAATGATGTTTTTTATCTAAGGTTTGTACTGCCCAAACTAACTTTTTTATTCGCATTGTGAGCTTCGCTTTGGCTGAACAGATTGTTCCCGATGGGAAACTGCCGCAACTTTTATACTTCTCATAAAAATGCAATTACCCTAGGACATCATAAGTAATATGAAAATGGTGTGCACGTATGAACACATGATGTTTTATAGGCACGACAGATTAACCTTCCCTGGTCAGAATCAATCCCGGGTTTCTAAACTTCTCCAAGAACACCCTGCGTATTTGCACATTTAAACTTTAATTTTATTGTACGTATCACTATTGGCTAGGTATCTCTTTTCGCAGCCTTCAGATCTAATACATTAAATAGATAGAAGCAGTTATTAAACGATCAAACAGTCAACGTACAAGGCGTCTATATTCCAATGTATGCACTGTTTTTCTTCACGGTCATTCTAGGAAATCAACAAAAGATGACATGAATATGACAATCCTATGACAATCTAGTGAAACGGTTTCATTACAGTTACAGTAAAAATTGTCAAACTGTGCATAATTTTCAAAAAGTTCTTAAACGTCACAATGTAGCATTTTATGAAAAAGCCGAGAGTTTAAATGAGCAGGATGTAATCATTCACTATTTGATACTATGAAAAACTAAAAACTATTTATTGAATAAATATTGAATTGAATAAATGGTCATTCTTACAATGGTATGTTCAAATGTGAACTCGACTGGCTTCGGCAATGAGACATTGCACTGGGGATATTGGACACAAGCCATCATTCTTGATATTGGAATAAACTTTGTTCGATCCGCTTCAAATATCCTGCAAGTCAAGCAAATCCGTTAGCAAATCCGTTAGCAAATCTGTTAGCAAATCCGTTAGCAAATCTGTTAGCAAATCCGTTAGCAAATCTGTTAGCAAATCTGTTAGCACATCCGTTAGCAAATCCGTTACCAAATCCGTTAGCAAATCCGTTTGCAAATTTGTTAGAAAATCTGTTAATACAAACTTGAAATGCTTTGCTAATTTAAACATAAAATTTCATAGACCAGAAAAATGACTAGCTTTTTCAACAAACCTCGCCAGGTACTTGGTATGAAGTTCTGGATCTGAAGTGTAACTCAATGGATTATACAACATGCATGTAACAGAAACTCCTGTGGAAAAATCAGTAAAGAAAAGTAAGAAATAAAATCGACTTCAAATTTCTTGAATCGAAGAAGCCATTTTGTAACTTCAAACGTTCTCTTGCTTTTGAATTTGATAAAATGCACCGGAATACATGGCTACAACAATTTTACCTTAAAAACAGCAGCTTTTGAGATAGATGATAACATGAAAAATGAGAAGCTATTTCAGCTATTACCCTAAAGTTCTATGAAAAATAAATAATTATCGCCAGCACAAAATTAAGAAAAGTAGAAGTGTGTACTTGGCTCTAAAGCGACCCATGTCGCATTGAATCCTCGCATGACATATCTGCTATCCGACCTAAACACAACCAGCATATAGCGACCAGAAGATCGCACTGCAACAGGAAGACCATCACTACCACAGTACTGAGCAATTAGCCGATTATTTTCCGTTGTTCCATCATATATCCTCACGTTGTCGTAAGCACATTTTCGATCTTTTTCAAGTTGGAAGTACGTAAAATTAATGTACACATCCCTCAGTTCATCAACCTCAATCAAATATTCGCACATAGTGTTCAAAGGGTAATAATTTGGAAAAAGAGGCGATGAAAAGTGACCTCGATTTCCAATGAATCGCTGTCGTTTGCAAGGTTTTCCTAAAACATAACAAATTTCATTTAGTAACTTGGGTAATCTGGGCCAAAGTGAGACAAGGAGCAAAATGAAACAGCCGTAGTCCTAACTTAAATTATTAGTTTCCATTTGATTTGATTTATTCCATTAAAGTATAAAACGGGGAGTATCTTTGAATATGTGCTTACAGCTTGCAAACGGTTTTTTATGGTAACGATACGAAGATCTATTGCTACTCCGACTTCTCGGATTCAGCAAGGAATGAGCCGCCATTTTTGTCCTGTTTATAAGTGAAGAAAATTTTATGATTTTGTGATCATTTTAAAATATGTAAGTTAAGATAAATTTTTTTTTAAACAAGTTGACGTAAAAACGATATTTTTCTATTTTAGAATAGTAAAAGGTTCAAGTGTTGTTAGCAAATTTTGATTTTTCTTCCTCGTCTGTGGCATAAAATGTGACACTGCAGAAAGCGAAATAAGCCTAAAATTGCTGTAGAAAAGTTATATGATATTTCTTTTAATTAAAGGGTTTGAAACTACTTTGCCTAGTTTAAAGTTACTTTGCCTAATGCAAAGGAGGAGTGCGCCATGTTTCGAAGCAAAATGTGGAGAGAGAGTTTCCTGGTGCTAAGATACCTCACATCCAATTTTTCCTTCAAAAGAATTCAGTGTAAACATACAGCGAAAGAAAAATGCAAAGAAAGGACTATTGGCTATGACAATTGCAAAGATTCACATGGATTTCGAGTTGTACTGCACTGGAGTGAAATGGGCCTAAATGTAGCACGCGGAAAGAAAGAAAAAACTGGAAGAAAAAAACTGATACATGAAAGAAAAAACTGATGGAAGAAAAAACTGATACATGAACACACGAATATTTTGCGACCAGAGCAGAGGAGACACAAGTACCTTCCAAGTAGCTAAGAAGTGAAGGTTTTGAGGAGCAGAAAATAATTTTAGCGAGTGATATTCATATGATCACAGGACCAACAAAGTTTCCATGTACAGTTTGCAAGCGAGCTGTAGCCTCAGCCCACAGAGCCCTCATGTGTGCTAGATGCAATAAATTCTGCCACATCGGATCAAAATGTGGAAACATTGCAGTTTATCTTTAAAAAGAGCTTAAATATAGCTTGGGATGTTTGGTATGTCTGGATAAAACCTGAATGAAGGGATAAACAGAAACGAAGTGAACACTAATGAGCAGTGTTTCTTAAGAGGGCTTACGAACTGTTTTAAAGAGGGCAATTCTTTTCTCAAAGCTGCCCATGTAAATGTAAATAGTTTATTAACATCGACCAAAATGCATGAGATAAAGCTAATCCTATGCAGCACCAAAATATATATCTTAGGCATAACTGAGACTAAATTGCATGAACAAATTGAGGATAGCGAACTAGAAATTCAAGGCTATAAATTCTTCCGGCAGGACAGGGAAGTAAACAGTGGAGGAGAATGTTTGCTTTGTTTCAGTGAACAACTAGAACTTGTGGAGAAAAACCAAAGTAAGGAGCACGATAACATCGAGGCAATTTGGGCTGACTTCAAGTTGCATTTACAAAAAGCTTCCATTTCTTTAATGTATAGACCACTTGATGATAGAGGTTCCTTCGCACTTTTCGAAAAACACATAGAACATTTTAAAAAGAAAAGAAGAACATGTTAATAATGGGCGATTTAAATAGTGATCTACTTGACAAAACAAACAGAAATGGGAAAAGGCTCAATAAAGTATTGATAAGCCAGCACCTCCAAAACGTCATAAAAGATCCTACTAGAATTACAGAAAACACAAAAACCTTGACAGATGTACTTCTAATCAGTCATCCAGATAAGGTTAAAAGATCAGGTGTATTTGACGTGGGTATCGCCGATCAAAGAATGATATATTTCATACGATATCAAGGGAAAAAGGTTGTTTCATACGATATCTCCTGTCTTAAAAATGGTAATGAACAATAAAGTTTGCAACAGAGAAGTTCAGGGAAATGATACAGACAGTCCCCTGGTATACACGCAACATTTTCAATGAAACTGATATAATCTATGGATGGTAGAGAAATCATATAAAGATGTGACTAAAAAATATTTACCAAAGAGAAAGGCAAAGAGCGGGCCTAAATCCCTTCCTGGAATGGATGGCAAGATACGAAAGTTAATGAATCATCGGTATAGCTTATCAAAAAGGGCAAACAGAACCCAAGATATGCAGGTCAGGGAAGAATACAAAAAGAAAAGGAAAGGAGCTAACAAAGAACTGAAAAGAGCAGAGGCAAAATATTGGGAAAAAAAGCTTGCAGACCCAGATAAAGGAGGTTCTGATTTCTGGAGAATAGTATAAGAGCTAACAGGCACAAAAAGATCCGAGAAAAAGAAAATAGGTCCAGTCAAGAGCGAAACAGGAGATGTATTGACAAATGATCAGCAAATAGCAGAATGCTTCAACAAATTCTTTGTGAATGTAGGAGAATAATTAGCAAATGTATTTGAGAAAGACGATGTCGAGCAAGTCCAATATGAACTTTGGATTTGTCAGTCATGACCAAACAATAACGTTTGAACTAGGGTACTTTTGATTACATAGTTGGAAAATTTTAAACTGGTTTTAACTTTTGAATTGTAAAAGTGATATTCTATTTGTATATTAAGTGTCCCCAAATAGCAAGTATGCTAAATTTATTTGACACAGAAAAAATGTAATGAATGAATGAATGAATGAATGAATGAATGAATGAATGAATGAATGAATGAATGAATGAATGAATGAATGAATGAATGAATGAATGAATGAATGAATGAATGAATGAATGAATGAATGAATGAATGAATGAATGAATGAGGAGAAACATCAACGGAGTCCTTGTTATTTATCAGAGGTATGGAAAAATGCGATAAGTGATGGAAAGACTGAGAGTTTTGTTCATTGACTGCAGCAAGGCTCGACTCAATGGACCATCAGATCCTACAAAAACTGAAAGAAATCAGAGTTGAGGAATGACCTTCCTACGGAGTACGGAGTCCCACAAAGTTCGCTTTATGGCCCTTGGTATGTATGCATGTATGTGTGTATGTATGTATGTAGAAAATATGAAATTGCTTCAAGTACCCTTCAAAAAAACTGAATTACAAGATGTTGTTTTTATTTCTGAACGTTGCTTTCTACTGCCTTGATTTTCTATATTTTCAAATAACATATGGCATAAAAACTTGCTTTCTCTTTTAAAGACACATTTTTTTACAGTGCTAGTTATGTCAAGTATGGGTGTGGGTTCTTTCTAAACTTGATGACCAGAATACAAATCTTTGAGGATGAACTGTGAAATTAAATGCCATGTAAATGTATAAAATAAGATCATGTATATTCCGATCATATTATTCATTTATTTATCATTTTGAAAAATAATGTTTAGCATGAGATTGTTCGGTGAGATCAACGCGGAGAACATCACCCAAATATTTTGCCACTCTTTTCCCAGCTGCTTGAAGTTTGTCCGCTTGGAGCAAATCGTGCTAATCGCTTTCAGCGAAACTTCCCGTTTATGACCATAGTCATCGAGCCATGTGACTCTTTCCACTAAGTTGATTTGTTTAGAACGTTAATCTCTCATGCGATGTCACAAGAAAATAGAACATGACCTTTTTACATGTGTCGTCGCAAGGGTAATTCAATTTAGACGCAAGTCCCGTTGCCCTTTAGACTACAAATAATGTACACAACCTACCACTCCAGTCGATTTCGGTGACCTTTGTGGACATGGTCACATTAGGGCTCTGGGTTGTTGTGACGTTTGTAGAATTTCCGAACGAGGTTGCTGTAGATTGGGCAGTTGTTGGCGGTTGAGTTGAAGGCGGTGGAGTGGCCCATTGCTCAAATGCAACTGCAAATGCAAAAGATAGCAAGAAGATGCAAAAGATAGTAATCTTAGATATGTGAACAATAAGACCAATAAGAAAATGACACCAACCAAAAGTTAAGTAAATAGAAGCCCAAAAAAGTTTCATCCTGAATCATTGCAAAAGTAAATATCAAACAATGCTATCGAGAAAGAACACGACTATTTTCAAAGTATAGCAACAGCAAACAGCGTGAAATAGGCAGCGAAAAAGAAGCCTTTCCATCAGTTTAGTTAGTATCTTGTATTAGTAGAGCTACTCTCATAATTGTATAACTAATTATTGCTTTTGGTAGAACATTGATAACAATGAGCTTACCGGTACTTTCCCCAACAAACTGAACATCAACTTTGTCCGTTATTGTTGTCCAAAATTGTTCATTGCTGTAGTTGGAATGACAGTGATTCGGGAATGTCATTTTCTTCACATCCGTGCATCGAAAATCATACATTTCCAACGCTAAGTAAAGCATGAGAACAGTTACTAGCTTCGAAACTGTCTTCTAAAAAGTATCACGCGCACCATTATGCAAATAAATTGATCAGATTTTCCTTTTATCTGCCATTCGTATAATCCTTATTATATTCAACATAAAAACAATGCTTTGTTCTTTGAAGTTTTTGAACATTCTACTGCCTACTTGTACATCGGATAAGAGAACGGATTTTTTGTAAAACAGGCTTTCAATTCTCTCTGCTCAAATACTTCAAATCAACATTTGAATTCAGAAAAGATAAGCGATGTGCCTGGTCTCAAGCAATATTGGCATCTCTTTTTGCAAATCTGAAGAATTTGACAGTTGAATAATAATTAAGCTCGAGTTTGGAAATGTCACTTGGACATATCAGGTTTCCAGGAACAATATTTATTATATTTGCTGCTCTTACCTAGTTTATTTTTAGAAACATGCACGGTGTAGAACGATTGAATGGTTTCCTTAAAATGATAAGAGTACACATTTTTTGCCAGTTGGTAGATCGTCCTCATTTTTTGGGCAAGATCGTCGATTGGGTTGTCAGAGTCCTGAAAAATTATTGGCAAATGAATATTTCTTAGCAGTAACGCAGGTAAGCTAGAACGGGAATTGAAGCCATAAATGAAGCATTGTCACTACCTTTAGCGTCTCTTTATCAGTAAAAGAAAGCATCAAATGTTATCCAATTCAAGAGAGACTGAATTCGGTACGAAATGATAGGATTATAAAACTGAATAACACAAACTGAATAACACAAACCTCTTCTGATACACGACTTAACTCGTCCGCTATCTTTCCAAACAAAAGGGTCTCTGTATCAATAAATATTGACTGCATCGGAATTTCCTGCAAAGATTAAGTAGAAATGAAATCTAGGCAAGTCATCTTTTTATGTCAATTTAATCTTTAATGCTTTATAATCATAAATGTGCTTGAATGTAGTTAAAAGTGTTCTGGATTAAAATAAGATCTAATAATCGTTCAGTACATAAATTATGGAAAATAGCAGACAATAGGGGGCGAGATGGACGGCAAATGTCCAATAGCTTTTAAGTAAAAGGGCAATTTAATTGCAAAAAGCACAATGCAACCACTAATTGGACGCCCCAGCAATTACATCAATATTTCCTGCATACGGCTGAAAAATTAAGTTTCGTGTATTAAATCTACATAAGGTTGACTGATAAGCAAAAGAGCGCTATTTTGTCATTTTTATTAGCACCGTTGGTCCTTTATCTATATCTTGGAATTTAAGTATTTACTCCATAACAATACCATGAAGAAGGAATTTATTGGGGAGGGGGGGGGAGTTCCCAAATACGCGCCCGATCCAAATTATGGAACGACCATTAAGGCTCTCAAGGAAGAGTGTTTTCGCTTTAGGTATGTCACAAAAAGCTGATTTTCAGCATAAAGTTTCAATGTGGGGACGAAAGAAAGCGAGTCAGGCAACATAACCAATTTGATTATTTTTCTACATTCATTTGAAATCCCATCAAGCTTTATTCGTTGTTGTCTTGTATTTAACTTACATGCTTATGAGACAGGTACATTTAAAAAGGCACATTGAAAACGAATCGAAATGAAAAGGCTCTAAGCATTACTTTATGTTGTCTTGTAAAAACTAGACACTCGTAGGAAATGGGACCAAAGCGGTTTCAGAAATCTTCTTAGTTGCCAGAAATAATGGGACCTTTCCTAGACAAAAAACTGCTTGAACATTGTTCTCCAAGAAGCTGAGTTTCTTTTTTAACAGATTCGGAGCTTATAAAGAACAAGTCGAGGAAGTAATTAGAATGCTTCATAGAATTAATTTTCCGAGCTCGTAGAGAAAATGGTAATGGAAAATTTTCCTAAAAGACTCCTGTAAACGTATTGTACTCCTGAAAATAAATAGTAAAGTTTCCGCACTTATTATAGATGATTCATCTTTTAGGGTTTAAATAATATAAGTTTATGCTCTTTAAAGTTAAGTTTTTCTCAAGCAAGGCTGTAAACCAGAAACTGAAAAATTGTGCAAATAGAAATAGTAAGAAACAAGCAAAGAAGCAATAAATGGTTCTTGTCTAAGCAGGGTAGCAAAAGAGAAAGAGTTCCTACTTTTGGACATTGACATTTGTGAGAGCCGACAAGATTGTAACATCTCTCGGATTCTTTACATTTATGTTTGTCTTTTCCAAGAGAGCATTCATCGACATCTGCAATCAAATCATATAGCAATCTTTATAAGCATACATAGAGGCACTTGCTATTCAGACAGATTTTCTTAGTTACATTTACTTTTGCCAATATGCAATAATATTCTTCTCAAGTAAGGATCTTTGGGCTTCTCGTTCTTTGGTATCTGCTAAGAAAGCAAGGTTTGCTTTGCTTCAATGCTCATAGAATGTGGTTTATGCACGCGGTTCACGGTTTTTGTATATTATATTTTAAAAATCATAAGACACTTCGTTATTCACATAACCAGCTTACCATGGCAATAGAAACCATCTCCTTTAAAAAGATCCTTGATGCAATCGCATCTGTAGCTGCCTTGGTTATTGGTGCACACTGCAAATTGGTGACAACTATGAGTACCAAGCTGGCATTCGTCTGCATCTAAGTAAATAGAGCATGGAAAGAATAAAGTGGAGTTTGGAAAAACTGTCATTTAAAAAAATTATCGAGCTGCTTTGAATCAGGGAAACGAGATGATAACATGGCTTGAAAGGAAAATAAAAGTGAGAAGAACCTTGACAGAGGCGACCATTTCCTAGCCATCCTTGATTGCAAGTGCATTTAAAGGATCCTTTGGTGTTTGTGCAAGTGGCCATTCTGTTGCAGTTGTGTGTCCCTTCACTGCATTCGTCAATGTCTGCAAAATATCAAATCGCTAATTGCCTGACTGTTGAAAAGAAAAAAGATACGCGAGGAAGCAATTCATAAGGTATTCGTCTGACACTGTTCAAAGTTCATCAGATGATGGCAATCGATAATGGGAGCGGCGATTATCAACCCTATCATGTAGTTCAACAGCGCAAGTGGATAATGCAAAATCTTTTTTGCTTTGTCATAAAAATATTCAAAAATATGCAAATGTTACACATCGCTTTTTTATTACATAAAAATCGTGCTCAAGAGCAGGCAACGTTTCTTTTTTGTCCAACTATCGGAAAACATATGGAATATGGCACTCCTAAAAAAGGAGATCAAGAAAATTAACACGCCAAATACTATTCTATCTTTACAGATGGTAACAATAGGTTTTTCAAAAGAAATCATACCGGTGCATGATTTGCCATCGCCAGCAAAGCCAGCCTTGCATAAGCATCTGTAAAATGGCTCCAGATTTAAACAGTCAGCGTCGACATGACAGGGGCTTGATTGGCACTCGTTGATATCTGAAAATTAGATAGTGGTACAAAGCAAGACAGTTTTAGAAAATAAATCTTGAGACAAAACGTGATTAAAATGTTACAGATTACACTATAGTCATAGCCATCTCCATGAAACCTATTGTTATAGAAATATCGACGATAAAGTGCGATTAATAATGAAGCATTCCCCTGCTCGTTACTGAACTAACGGACTCACCTTCGAAGTAATAGCCATCTCCATGAAACACATTGTTATAGAAATATCGACGATAAAGTGCGATTAATAATGAAGCATTCCCCTGCTCGTTACTGAACTAACGGACTCACCTTCGAAGTAATAGCCATCTCCATGAAACACATTGTTACAAAAATATCGACGATAAAGTGCGATTAATAATGAAGCATTCCCCTGCTCGTTACTGAACTAACGGACGCACCTTCGAAGTAATAGCCATCTCCATGAAACACATTGTTATAGAAATATCGACGATAAAGTGCGATTAATAATGAAGCATTCCCCTGCTCGTTACTGAACTAACGGACTCACCTTCGAAGTAATAGCCATCTCCATGAAACACATTGTTACAGAAATATCGACGATAAAGTACGATTAATAATGAAGCATTCCCCTGCTCGTTACTGAATTAACGGACGCATCTTCGAAGTAATAGCCATCTCCATGAAACACATTGTTACAGAAATATCGACGATAGAGTGCGATTAAAAATGAAGCATTCCCCGGCTCGTTACTGAACTAACGGACTCACCTTCACAGTAGTAGCCATCTCCGTGATACCCACTGTTGCAAGTGCACGTAAAACTTCCGGCCGGATTATTATCACAACTTGCGAAACGGCTGCAGTTGTGTGTTCCTTGAGAGCATTCGTCAATTTCTGCGAGAAAGATGAATTATCATTTCAATCAATGTAGCATTGTGTAAATATATGAACTTTAATGCTACTTCGCAAGGAATGGTGAATAACATAAACGCTATTTAGTAAAGTGGTTAGCTTTTCGCAGGTTGATAAGAATTAAAAACTGTACCCAAGCAAAGTGCACCGAGGCCTGTTAAACTGCTATAGCCAGTGATGCAGTGGCATTTGTATGCTGCAAATCTGTCTGTGCATTTAGCATAAGTTTTGTCGCAGATGTTCCAGCTTGGATATTGGCATTCATCAATTTCTAGAATGTAAAATATCATCCATTCATGCAAATAATATCACAAAATTTAACGCAATTGAAGCAATCGATTAGGTATTCAAGATCCAATAGTATTTGTGAGGGACAAGAAATAATTGTCACGGAGGTACCTATCTCTCGCAAGAAAATAGTTTTTGTTACTATTTATCGCAGCCCGAGTCAGGATAGAAGGCAATTTGCATTGTTTTTAGATAGGCTACCATCTATTGTTAGTAAACTAAAAACAGAAACCCACATGCATTGATATTAACAGGACACTTCAATTGCATATCGTCCCATTGGGGGCATGGGGACACTGCACAGCCTGAGGGAAATGATTTAGATGAACCCATCGAAACTGATAATTTATATCAATTAATTGACGAACCTACGAATATAAGAGGAGACAGTATGTCCTGCATTTTCCTTATAATAACAGATGAACCTGCCTTTTCTGTTGAAACTGGTGTAAACCCAGAGTAAAGATAATATAGTTAGCAAATAAATTTAGTACCAGAATGAAAATATAATAGTTTGATTATTAAAAACACGACGTTTCGGGCATGTACTCGTTATCAAGATATGATTGAAATCGAGCACAGGCTCGAAACGTCGTTTTTTTAATAATCAAACTATTATATTTTCATTCTGGTACTAATTTTATTTGCTAACTATATTATCGTTATTCTGGATGAAGTACCACACGCAACGTACACATTTAATTGGTGTAAACCCAACCTTAAATAGCTTCTGTCAACACCACATTGTATATTGGAAACTAAATATAGCCACTCCTTTTCTACCCCATATAAAAGAACTGTCTTGGATTATTCCAAGGCTGATATTATAAATATAAGAAATATATTACGTAATGTAAATTTGCATCTTTGCTTCCATGGCTTGGGTACTAGCGAAATGGCAGATAAATCGTACGAAATATTGAAATCGACTATTACTGATAACATACCTAATAAAATAATACAGTTTAACGATAAAGACCCTCCCTAGAAATCTCATGAAGTGAAAAGTGCAATGAAGTGAAAGCAGAGTGATGAAAAAAAGTTTTTGCAAAGAGGTCGAAGGGTGGAGGACTGGGAAAGTGTGAAGGAAGTTCCTAAATTAACTTCAAAATTAATTGCTGATGCTAAAGAGAACTACTATAAGAAATAAAAACAGAAAACTCTCGGCTCCTTATACCGATATTAAAGCGTTTAGTCATCACTAAACAGGCTGTTCGGTAACAACAAAACAGCCTAACATTCCCCCGATACTTGAAAATGGGCTTTTATCGTCAATTTTGAAACTAAAGCAAATATGCTGAATGATTACTTTGTAGGACAGTGTTGTTCAGTAAAAACATCGTGTAGTATATGAAAACTTGCACAGAATTTTGTTACGACCCTGCAGTATCTTGATGTTAATAGGGAGAAAGTGTAGAAACTCATTCAAGCCCTTGATTGAGTTTCATCTCATGGGTGTGACGAAGTTTCTGTTACTATGATTAAGATCTTTGATGATGCAATCGTTGAACCTTTGTGTGTGATCTTTGAAAAGTGCATAGAGACCAGTATCTAACCTTCTTCTTGGAAGAAAACAAATATTGTTCCATTTCATAAAAAGGGTACTCGGCAATACAAAACAAATTATCATCTCATCTCCTTGCTTTCTAATTTTTCCAAAATTTTTAAAAAGCTGTTGTTTGATGCAATCTGCAGTCATTGAATGAGAATCAATTCATAATGCCTAACCAATCTGGCTTCCGAACTGGAGACTCGACTATAATATAAATCAGTTGTTGTTTGTCACTCACAAGATCTATTGTGCGTTTGATGATACTCCGAGCAAAGAAACACGAGCAGTATTTCTTGCTCTATCAAAGGCATGAAGGATTTATCCACAAACTTGGATGTAAGGGAGTATCTGGTAATATGCTTGCTCTGATTCGCAATTTTTTTATGAATCGGAATGTAAGGATGTTGTTGCAGGAGTACCTAAAGGATCTGTATTAGGTCCTCTATTTTTTCTCATCTAAATAAATAATCTTAGTGACAACTTCAATAGTGATATCAGGCTATTTGTGGATGGTACTTCTTTCTGTTCGGTGATTGAAAGCGAGATTGCTGAAGCGAAAGAATTAAACTGAGATCTTAAGAAAATACTACTTTGGTTGGGTTGATGTGTGCACCTTTCAGTTCTCGATATTGATTGTTAACCTTGGTGCCGAGCACGGTGGCGATGAATTGTCTGCTCCTGGAATGTCCCTCTCTTACAACTATTATTGGAATAGTTTAAATTGAATTGTAAGTGCCATACATAGCGGGTCGTGGCTAACATAGATTAAAATCAACAATTAGACAAAAATTGATTGATGGTGAGACATTTTTTCAAAAAAAATACCTCGTTGACCATATAACTCAAAACGAAGGCATTTCTTTGTCTGCCATTGAATTGGAATCACTCTGACGTATCTCGCAAATATTACATGCTTTAGTTTATTGTAAAACACATCATCGTTGCTGTTTGCTCCTTTATTACCAATGAAAACCTATAACACCAAAGAACAAAATCGATATGTGAATTGAGTAACAAGAGTGGTTTTTCTAACATTTCGTGTCTTTACAAGGGCTCTATATATCGATTTAATAAAGGCAAACAAGGAGTAATTCGACCGTTTGAAAAGAACGCTATCTTTTCTACAAAACGACAATTTAATTCTTATCGTGAAATCACATACCTGACCGGGTCCAGAGCCACTACCATCCTCTGTGACACTTTTCCAAAGGGAGCGATCGTTCGAATATTCAAGTCGAAATTCCTTTGTATATTGCAGAATAGGTTCCCTTCCAACGCCTTGTGTCGCGATCATTGTTATGTTTGAAGAAGTACCTAAATCAACCTAGCAATAAAGCCAAGTTACGTCAGAATGATTTTACCATATTTTACTTTATCAATAATTTATCTCTAAAAATATTCTCACCTCATTACACCCAAACGCATCAATGACATGGAAACGAAACAAGCAGGGCAACTTACTTCTAAAACGTCGTTAGTGGAGTCAGTCGGAGCGCACCATGCGGTGTTGCCTGTCCCTTTATAATGAAGACGAGCTGATGCTGCTTTGTAATTTCCTACCTCGCGAGTTGCATTCATTTTAGAGTCGGGGATCTTAGAATAGGCTTGGTCCGGACTGACACCATTATTTTCTTGAATGGAAATCCCAATCGGAACGAAAGAATCTTGAAGCAAAGCAGAAATGTCTCAATGCCTTTGATAAGCATTTTTGGGTAAAGCTTACAATAAAGTTTCATTTCAAGTCATAATCAAAACTTATGTGGTATTATTTCTTATTCAATTTGCCAGCATAAACAGGGTTAGAGTTTGATTTTTTTGAATACTTAGACATTGAAATTTATTCCAGGCCTTTCAATTTATTTTTAGGAAATTGCAACCAACAATTGTGAGAACTTTCAGTGTTTTCCCACTTTCAGCTCTTGAATTAATCAAATAGATCAAAGGGTGTTTGGGCTTAGAACGGTAAAATACAAAAAAAAGAAACGTTGCAAAACGGTCGATAAATATTTCATTGCAATTGTTAATCAGGAAAAAGAACTGATAAGTACAAATACTCTGCGGAAACATCTCGTACAACTCGCACAAACCCAAGAACTGTGCACAAGAACTGTGTTGGAACACAAATTTGAAGGAATGCTAAAGAAAGAAGTTGATGTCTTCCCCACTAGATGATGAAGACAATAAACACTAAGCAATAGACTCAGATGGATATCGTGGATATCGGTGATATTTCATGAATTCATTCACTGAACGTACCATTAAGCAAAAGAAGGAATTAGAATATATATATACAGTCAACTATACCGTAATTAGACATTTTCAAGCTAAATAATTCGGAATCCTTTGTGGTAATCTCACTCTGCTACTCTTGTAGGAAATACCTGAAAATTTCCCTTCCCTTACAAGATGTTTGAAACTAAATAAGAAAAATCTTAAAAGAACTGTAATAATGCAATAAAATCTAATAGAAACATGCGATGTCTGTTAAAGAAAGGAAATATTATGAAAGCGTCTAGCAATACCGTTGCATCCTTGTGGCCATGTTTTATTGGTGAATCGATGATATGCACGACAAAGGCACAAGTAGGAGCCAGAGCCAGTGTCTTCTGCACATTGCGCGTAGGGAGGGCAATTGTTTGTTGAACAAGATTTATCTGAAATGTCAATCAGTCCATATTCATAACACAAATACACTTCAGACAAATTCTAAACGGTAACACCTTATTTCTATAACTATCAAGACTCAAGGTAGTGCTTGTATTACACTTCTCGAGAATGATACCGTTGATACCGTCAAAAAATGCAGATTCATTTTCCTCGCCACTGACAGAAATTTTTAACACGATTGTAGTAGACACTGTTTTCCCGGATGATCTGAATCTTGCTGACGTATTTTCACTTTATAAGAAAGGCATTTGAACGCATTATTAACAACAAGTCTTTCGATTACTTTGGCCCGTTTTTATCTCTTTTGGGTGGTTTTCGAAAAGAGTATAACATGCAGCATGTTTTGATAAAAAGGAACTAGCTGGAGCAATCCTGATGGACCTTTCTAATGCATTCGATTGTATAAATCACGATCTATTGATCGCAAAATTAGCTGCGTATGGTCTTGGCTTGGATGCGCTTAAGCTCGCCAAAAGCTATTTATCGAAGAGAAAGCAAAGAGTCAAAATAAACGGTTCATACAGTAGTTGGAGGTATATTACAATAGGGTTACAGCAAGGATCATTTCTAGGACCGTTTCTATCCAAGGTTTTCACTAACCATATTTTCCTCTTTGTAAATATGTAATATTAACAATTTGTAACTATGCCAACGACACCACTATCTACGCATGCAGTTCAGATCTCAATACTTTAATCAATAGAACAGAAATAGACAGCTCAATACTTGCGAAATGGTTTTGAGAGAATTACATGAGACTTAACGAAGATAAATGCCACCTTCTTATATTTGGTAACAAATGCAAGGACACAGTAGTTACCATTGGTGACTCCACAATTAAATAAAGTGATTACGAAAAACTTGTGGGAGTCGCCTTTGATAAAATATTAAGTTTCACGAAACATGTCTAAGATCTATGCAAAAAGGCAAACCAAAAATTGCATGCACTTGCCCGACTCTATAACTATACAGACCCTGGCGAATTAAAACTACTGTTTGTTTTAAATGTTTTAAAATTTCTGTTCAATAATTCATCAAATTGCTGTTCAATTGCTATCCACTTGTATGGATGTTCCATAATAGAATGACCAATTCCAAGTTAAACAAGATTTATAAAAAAGCATCGCGAATTGCAAGCAAGAAAATGACTTCGTAAATACTTCCCTGAACGACTGATCAACGCAATCTGCAGTGGCTCATGATAGAGATTTTCAAAACAAAGAACAAGCTCAACAAAATGTTTATGAAAGATATTTGTGCAGAAAAATATCTATTACAGTTTGCGCAATCTAGATAATTTGCAACTACCAAAATTAAGGACAACAATTTAAGGTAAATGGTAAAGATTCAGTATAAAGGCTGAATTCTATGGTTTTCACTCCAAAGTATTTTTAAATAAAGGTAACACGATACAACAAGTTGAAATGAGAAAAAAGCAGTGGAATGGTAATTCATGCAACTGCATAGCCGTTATTAACGATTCAGAGGTTTAGATTAATTTACTTTAAATTTTGTCAATTTTCCATTGTAAATTTGACTTCTTCTTTAGTTTAGTCTAATGAAAGAGTCCAAATATTCTGACTTTTTTACTTTTTTTAGCTATTACAAATAGACAAGCCAACTTTAAATAAATTGATGATAATAATTTTTACGGTTGGTAGGCTGTAAAACACTGAAAAACTACTACAGCGAATAATTATTTAAGGTGGCTCGAAAAATGAAGAAATACACCACAGTCAGCCCTTCCTTCTCTCAATTTGACTCGAAATTATACCAAATTGCATCAAATAAAAGATAAATCTAAGAACTTACATCGCTGCGAGGCGCACACTTTAACTGCGATGACCTAAAAACGAAAGAGAATCGATAAATACCTCCGCTCCATTAACGACAATTTTGCCTCTTCACAAACAAAGAGCATCTGACTAAAACATAAAGTGGCAAAAAATACAGAATTTACTTACAGCGATAACAAACAGAAGTTTCATTTTTGCGTGATTCTGAAAAAACATAGCGATGTCGAGTTGCTGAAGGAAATCGAATATTAATAAATCATAACAAAAATTCTACGAAAGTTAACTTGAATGGTGATTTAAGAAAGACCAATCACTCAGCAGTTTCCTGAATAGACATGACATTAACGAATGTGAGAACCTGCGCATTCGACAAATCCTATTCAAAGCACCATGACAACAGGCTCAAACAATTTCTTAAAAAAAAGCTGCAGGCAAGCCACCAATATTCGTGGTAAAGCCAATTTTAATGGAAAAGCCAAGTTTAACGACAAAGCATTTATTATTGTCTAACACAATTTCTACCTTTTCCAGAATATTTTCAATTGTTCGTTCATTGTACTGCAAAAGATAAATGTCTTAGCGAAGCAGAACAGCTAGTGACCAGAGTCCAGAAAAGTCCTCAACCTTCCTCCGGTTAAATTTCACCCCGTTAAAACTTTTCTCTAATTTTTAGGCAATCACCTTTGACAGGACGTGGCTAGGTAGTGGCCACGGTATAAGGGGTGCAAAATGCAATAAATCGAGACAGTTATTTGTTTGGGTCAATGGTAATTATCGCATACGACTTTGCTAGAATACCAATCACATTACAGCTTAACAATAATATTTCTATTTAAAATGTCGAATAAATGTCGAGAAATTTTTGAAACCATGGAACACGAACAGTATTCTCTTTGCAGATGTATTTTCTGGCGGTAAAAAGGCGTGACCTAAAAATGTTACGTCTGTTCGCGCCACCAATTGACTCTGCAACAGATTCAACGTGTGTTTTGAAAGCGCAAAAGAAATAAATGCAAAATAAGTTGTCTCAATTAGTTTTAAAATTCTATTTTGCCAAAACTTTCCTCCAAACTTCAATTGGTTCTCAAACCATCCTTCGGTCAATGACCGTTTGACCGGTGCATTGCCTGCAGCCTTACCCTATTGACTGTAAGTAGAACCTTACACAGAATACCCACGATCTGAAATGTCCCCCCTGAAAATGTGACATTAGTTATGATCATAAGCAACTTTGCAAATACCATATTACTAGCTACGTGAAAGATAATCAAAACAAAAATGATAATTCTGAGAATGAAGACGACCATAAAAAAACTGGGTGACAAAATGCAAAATATAAATTCAGATTTTAATTTCAAATTACATTTGCAACAAAATTTTACATCAGTTTACTTTATTTCTCGAAGTATTTTTCAATATAAGAAAAGCATAACCTAAAAATACAAATGGTAGTTAAAATATCAAGCCGTTAAATACAAAACAAGTATATAAATTTTACCACAGCTATAAATAAATCCCTCAATATCAGCAAAAAACAGCGAAATAAAAAGTTTGGAAGAGCCAATTCACATTATAAAGATGCGCCGCTGTTAAATCGAATTAATATTTTTTATGTTTAGAGCCATCTATAAATCTGCTTGTTCGATTATTTTTCATTTCCTTTCTATTCGTCATAAATCAAAAAATGTAATGCTTCAAACAAAGGGTTTGCGGCTGCATGAAAACCCTTAACAGGTGCTTCGGAATTGCTTACGAATGACGTGAAGCACAGCAGCAAACCACAATGCAGCAAACCACAAGAAACGGATATCTCAGCGCACTTTTAAAAGATCCATGCATCACATCGTACTATTCCCCGGAGCAAGCTTATGGAATTTTAGGTCTTGCAAAAGCTTTCATGTTTGCGAGCATGAAAAACATACAAGGATAGTAGGGTAAAAGTTCAACTGACTGACTAATTTTTGCTGAACGGCAGGTGAAGACAAAAGCAAAATAGTGAAAATAGGCCCTTTAAACGATAAATACAACATGCCCAAAACGGAGCTTAGATTAAGTACAATATTTCTTTATGTTACATGGTCCTTAAGTACGGGAGATCTATCGAAAAAAGATGTATCTAAATGAGTTTGTTCCAAAGAGCATGAATAACTGCTGCTATCGACGATGAAAAATGTGTCTCAGGATTACAGTAAAGAGAAAAAGTTAAAGAACTTTTGATTTGCCATCACCAGAGGCAGCTAACCCTTTCTTTTTGGCGAGAATTTCTAGCTCCATCTGCGCAGGCGATTTTCTTCTTGAAGGGTCTTTCCAAGATGGATCCGGTAAGTAGTTTGCAATACCAGAAGCAAAAGTGCGTTTGAAAGCTTGAAGGGAATTTTTCGGCCACTTGATAACGATGAAAATGAGTGTTGGGAGAATCGACGCCAGAATAACAACAACAATCAAGAGTTTTCCCCACGATGGATATTCGAAAGAAGCCAGCCATGTTTCACTTCCAGGATGCAATGGCGAGAACGGAGCCTAAAGAAAAATGCATTCCTTAGGTGAAAATTATTATTTTACAAAAATATCGATAAAAGCCAATTTGCAAACAATCTTTTGGTGGTACAAAACTTGAAAATGGCTTTGAGAAAAGCAAACTTTTAGTAAACTAAAGCTTTTAGTCTGACACTCTTCAGAGTTTTAAATGTCAGAAGATAGATCAAAAACTCTACGCTAGAAAATGTATATACCCAGTTGTGGATCAAAATAGGCCAATCAGAAACACGAGCACGTGACTGTTGAGGTTGACCTGTTCTTCAAAAATATTCAAAACATTGTATCAAGGACAGGGGCGGCTGGGAGAGATTTTAAACTGCTATTAGAGAAAATTGTGGTATCAGGGCGTGGCTGCCGCTGTTTTTTACTTCCAACCCCACCCTCTTCAATGGTTGTTTTAAATATCGCACTGTTTTTTTCTATGCTCTACCTCATCGTTCCATCTTGATTTTCTTGGCCGCAAGTTGAAAACACCTTGCCGTTTTCCTTGTAACGCTCTGTTTCTCATAGTCATAAAGAGAAAAGCAAAAAAATCAAGGGGGGGGGCAAGGCCACGGTCGGGGGCTATTTGATCTCTAGAGCAACATGGCCCATTGTCAGACTTATCACACTTATAATTTTGAATTTGATACTAATCCCAAAAAGATTGTAAAGTTGCAGCACGTTTCTTAGTTCTAAATAAAATTCAGAGACATTCTTTCAAATTTCTACTAAAACAACCTTCATTGGAATACATCTACAGTTCCGATATCATGTCTACACATTCAGTCTTTCAATTACGACTGTAGGCTTTGGCTTCGACGGCCTGCGGCACGCAGATGAATATCATCAGCTTACAATGAAAAGGCTCTCTGTCCGTAGCCGTAGCCTCTTTTTGTTGCTATTAACGGCCCTCTTTTAATAGCAAAATCATATCGGTAAGTATCGTACATTGAAATACTCCTTAATAAGGACAAATATTTCTGATAAATGCTCATTGTTAACATAAAAAACCAAAGCACCATATTTTCAATTCAATTTAAGTGCAGATTTAGATTGTTGATGAAACTAGCGTAACAGCTTGAGAATAAACTACATATCGCTACACCAAAATAAAAAGAGAGCACTATTTTTCATATATTCAAACGAAGTCGCTGTTGGTGTGTTAATCGTTGTTGTGAAGAAAGGATTGTCTGTTAGTATGTCGTTTAAACCCCCAACGTTAACTAGAAACGGCCATATGATTTATTTCAAACGCAATATGCCACATGAATGGAAGAGCGAACGGAGGAATCTTGCTATTAGAAGTGACCCGGCTAATAGCAAGTCCGCATATATTGGGTCTTTCACAACAGCATGATTGGCCACTTTACGTCACACAAGGAGACACAAACAAAGGTGGATATGAAAGTTGCTATTAGGATTCACAAATTAATAGCAAAATTTCAGGGCTGTGGCTGTAGTATTTGTTTGAGGCCGTCCGATGAATGCGTCACAATAAGTGTCGCGACAAGCGTAGGAGGGAGGTCTATTTTTTGAAAGGATCAAATCAGTTTCAAGAGTAGCGGCTTCTGCTCGCTTTACCATGGCCATATCACGCCATATCATTGCAAAGTGGCAAGAAAACAGTTAGTTATTCAAATAAACTGTTTTTGCCAAGAATTTTCCGGTGCTAGTTTCATTTTAAAGATATGACCAATAGATTATGAGAGCCTTTGCTGAAAAAAATTGCTATTAGACTAATAACGCTAATACCGCTCCCAGCCGCCCCTGATCAAGGACTCTTTTACGTTCGCTGAGTTCATGCAAAACTTGAACATCAAAAACGAAACATCTTTTGACATTAGCAGCCTTTTCACAAAAGTGCCGACGCTTTGTACCGGAGCGAGCTTAATAGCCCACCATTCCCAGAGGAAGTATTCATTGAACTGATGGAAACTGCAACACGTTCAGTTGAATTCAGTTTTAACAATGAAATGTACCAACAAAAGGATGGTGTCGCTATGGGTAGCCCTATGGGACCTGCCCAGGGACCTGCCTTGGCCAATATCTTTGTCGGCTTTTATGAAGAGCGTTCGTTTGACTGCGACCAAAAGCCAGGTGTTTATTTTCGGTATGTGGATGACACATATACCATTTTCAAAACAGAGGCTGAGTGTGATATTTTTCTAATAGCCTTAATAGCCTTCACACAGCCCTACAGTTTACATTTGAAAAGGAAGAAAATAACTCCTTCCCATTTTTAGATGTTTTGGTTGAAAAATCTGGCACTGGATTTCTCACTAGTGTATACCGTGAACCCACATTTTCGGGGTTATACACTCGATGGAGTTCGTTTTTCCCAAAATAAAGAAAAATCAGCCTCATCAAAACGCTTACACATAGGGTACTGATGATTTGTTCCAAGTCTAAACTCGACTCGGAACTTGAAAAACTAACTAAGATCTTTCTGGAGAACGGCTATACAGAGGATGTTATTTCAGTTTACATTAAGGAGAAGATAGGAAATTTCTCGTCTGACGTAAAATTTGGTCCTCAAAAGTGCCTGGTCTATCAAAAACTACCCTGGATCGGTGACAGTTCCCTGCGTTTTGAAAGTCAAATAAAACAGGCCATTACAAATTGTTCCTTTGCAGTCAACCCACGTTTTGTTTACAGTACGAAAAAGGCCCTTACATCCATTCAAAAGGACTGCGTTCCTGCCACACAAGAAAGTTCCGTTGTTTATGAATTTACTTGCCAGTGTGATTCTGGCTACGTAGGTTGCACTACCCAAAGATTGGAGGGTAGAATAAAACAACATGTTCCGTCTAGTATTAGAAACAAAACTCGTCCCCAAAGAGAACAGCCATCTCGATATTGCAAATCTAAAATTATAACTAAAACCTGCGATTCTGCTATCGGGCAGCATTTACTGGAAAACCCAGATTGTGCAAAAAACTATAATGGCGACATGTTTCGGATTATTGGTAAAGCCCGATCGTCGTTCCACCTAGCAGTTTTGGAATCGATCTACATAAGCACGAAAAAACTGCTACTGTGTAGACAAAAGGAGTTCGTTTTCACCTCAGGACTCCTTAGGACTCCAACAGTCATGTGCTCGTGTTTCTGATTGGCCTATTTCGATCCACAACTGGGTATATATATTGCCTAGCCTAGCGATCTATGTTCTGACGTTTTAAGCCCTGAAGAGTGTCAGACCAAAAGTTTTAGTTTAATAAATCTTTCCTTTTTTCAAAGCCATTTTAAAAGCCAATTATCTAACTTTAACTCAAAATTTAGACTCAACCTTCGGTATTTGTTTCAATTAAAAACTTATCAGGTGAATTGTTTCCTATTTGTTTCCTACTTACGTTGACAACCCGATGCAATTCAAGTTAGCGAGCTATGCGGTTAATGAAATCGCAAATCCTTAAAAACGAAAAGGTTTACCTCTGTGCATCCAACAAATGCGGCATACGTCGGTGCGTTTCTCGATAATTTCACGCAGGTGGCAATGAAGACAATAATAAGGGCAAGAGGCGAAATATATTTCCAGCAGATGAGCCAAAATGCGTTTGGCCTACTACCAGTCATATACTCAATGTCATTAGCAAAACTGTAAATAGAAAAAAACAACAATTGAATTCTATGCTATCCAAAACAACTTTAGTTTCGACAATAACCATACTCAAATGCAATGCCAAGGTTATTTTTAAGGCATTTCCAGCGTTTGGTTATGACAAATCCGATAGTTAAATTGGTGTCTGAATAGTCAACAGTTATAATTATCGACGTTTCGTGGCAGTTCTCCGTGCTTCGTCGTCACAATTTAAACATTAAAAAGACAGAAAACAATGTACGAATGCTAATGCTTGAATTTTTAATTCAATATCTGAATTACTAATGACAATTACATATTCATACATACTATCTATCACCCAGGTTTGAAGATAAACCAAAAATCCAGTCATGTAAATAGGCACAAACTATATCTTTTATGGTTTTAATGTTTTAAAAGATTTAGATTCTAGTGATTTTTGTACTGATAGATTACCCTGTATAACAATTTGATTTATTATTATTTTATAATTATTGTTATTATTATAAATACAAAAGAAAAAATGAATGGATATTAAGCATTTTAAACGCAATTCATCAAAAGAAGTGGAAAAGTAACGATTCTTACTTGTCGTTCCCATAGACCCAAGAGACAGCAGTGACTTGGAAAAAAGCAATAAACAACAGTGGCAATGTCACAGAAAAGTCATCAAATATTTGGAAAATATAGAAACCGGGTCCAGAAACCATACAAAGACCAATAAGGAACATCACAAATGCACAGATGCCTGAAAAAGAAACAATAAAAATATACATAACAAAATTATGTAGAATACTGTACAGCGGTTTACAATGCTTGATACTGAATAGCAAGAGCTGTAATAACTTTTGTAGAATAGAATGGCAGTAGCGGATCCAGACTACCGCCATTACAGCTTGAGCTGTAATCAGATAATTCCAAAATTATAAAAATAAGGTACCTCTTTAACGACGATTCTACAACTTTAATTTAACCTTAAAAATCAGTAGACTTCCTTTTAAGGTTCCCAAGGCACAAGGCTCCTCCGTTTAGTCAAGCCTGAAATAGTCAGAGAGATGGAAATATTTTTTACTTTTAATCACCATGGAAATGGTGTGATAAGATTGAGGGCTCTGTCGATATGAAGCGGAATCAAGCGGAATCAAGCAACAAGACAGTTGAGAGCTGATGTTAACATCATTTGCTAGTAAGGGGGAGGGTTGAGTCGGTCTAGAGAAGATTCGACCAATAAAACCATCAGAAATCATAGGGTGAATTTCAGTATTTATCAAATCGTGAAGTGGTTTAAGTCCAAGAGTATTTGGCAGTGGTGTAGCACACAGCATCACAGCGGCTCTTCGTAAATATTCTTGTTTCTCGATTTTGAAGTTTTTGCAAATGGTTCTTTTAGGTTGCTCCACAGATTCCCGAAACTGAGCAACAGTATCTAAAGTGGGACTCAGTCCTGGGTTAGAAAATGTTTGGCATACTTTAGAAACCTAATTGCTCTACTGATTTTTGTTGACAGAGATTTGAGGTGACCTTGCCAGTTATATTGTTATCCAATTGTGTTCCAAGATATTTGGCAGTTTGGACACTATCCATTCGTTCTTCCTGTAAAGATAATGCTTCATTATTATTTGCTACCTGCCATCAAATTACGCGAAAGATGCCATCAAAGCAGGGAAAGTCATACGTCTTGAGCGCGAAAACATTGCATGGATTAGGCCACTTGATGAATTTGCCTCTCACCTAAATGACTATGAATGGATGGAATTTGAAAAACAAGAAAGGGCCTTTCGTCAGTCTTTGAGCAGTAGGGGAGTATTTTATGATAAATTTATCTGCAAGGGAGATTTTAGCAAATGGAAAAGAGTCCTTAAAGTCATCAATGGAATATTCGTGAAAAGCGGGAAATTTCGACAACAAAGCTTCAATGGCAAGTCATGGAACTTAAATCTTTGCAAATATTGTTTACGTATTTTGAAAACGCTACCAAAGGAACCGTCCCTTGGTGGTAACAGAGATGACCCAATATTGTTCCAGTTAGAAAAGCAGTTGTCTTATGTCAATAAAACAATACAACCATTCTTTTCACTCAGACAAGGTGTGTTCACGGAGTAAATTGACAGATCTTTGGCTGCACAAAAGAAAGAGGGCAATTCAAGTTATAAAGAACGATTGTAAATGGCCAAACAAAACACAAGTAGAAATTGATCAAGCGGAAACAGAAGTGTTGTATCGAAATGAAAAATTGTTTTTTTTAGGAAATGATTCAAGAAACGAGGAAGAAATATCCCTTGTTGACAACGACGAAAATGATATCGAAGAAGTTAGGCCATTTAATAAGAAAGAAATTGAAAATGTTGTGAAAATATTTCCCAATGGAAAATCAGCAGGGCTGGATAGGGTTGTGTATGAGAAAGAGAGAATTTAGTTTAATTAAAACTGACATTGTGGGCATATTTAATACAAGTTTAAAAAATAGAAAAGTACCCTCCGAATGGAAACATGATAAAGTGCAAAGAATTCCGAAAAAGAATTATAGCCGCGAAGACTTAACGACACTTCGTGATATATCTTTATCATCTGTTATTTACAAATTATTTTCGCGTAGCATCATAAACAGAATTCTGCCCTTCATTGAGCCACAAATTGAATTTTGGCAAAGGGCTTTTCTTAAAGGAAGAAATAGGCAAGATTTAATGTTTTGCCTGAAAACAGCGTTGGATGACTTTAGACGTATAAGCACAAAACTCCATATTATATTTATCGACTTTGCAGATGCGTTTGGCAGTATCAAGCATAAAGAAATTACAACCACATTGCGTGAATACAACATTTCGATTGTATACTGTAAGATTATTGAGCACATATATCATCGTTCCAGTATTCAAGTTATTTGCGGAAACAATTTGACTCAGAAAATTTACATCACAAGGGGCACAAAAACAGGTAACCCATTGAGCGTTATGATTTCTCTAGTGATAGTGGATAAAGTACTAAAACCAGCATTCAATCATGCCCTGATTAGTATGAATATAGAAAATGAAAGAAACATTAGGCCAATTCCAATACAAGCATATGTAGACGACATTGCAATGGTAACATATGATTTAAAACTACTTGAAGAGATGGTAATAAAATGTGAACCACTCTTTGATCAAGCTGGTTTGAAAGTAAAGGCATCTAAGTGTGCGTTATTTTATGAGCGAAGGTCGGGTAACAATTGGCATAAGGGAAAAGGTGACAAAAAGCCAGCCATTAAAGTTCAAGGAGAAACAATAGCAACGTACAAGAGGTCCGAATCGTATAAATATCTTGGCAAATCGTTTACCATAGCAGACGAAGACGAAAAACAAGTTAAGGAATTCATCAAAGAATTCAAAGATACAATTGATAAAATCAAGGAATGTTCCTTGAAAACTCAGTGCTTTCAATAACATGGCTTTAGCAAAGATTTCACACAACTTTGAAAACACAAAGGTAGCAGAAAAACAGCTTGAAGAACTGGATGCAAAGATTACGAAAACCGCCAAAGAAATGTTTGATTTATATCCCAAGAGCAGTGACAAGATATTTTTCGCCAACAGACTACTTGGGGGGCTGGGGATAAAGAGACCATCAAACGTATATAGGGCAACACTTTATCTAATTTGATGAAAATGTTGATACATGATGAGGAGAACATACGGTATCTGGCAAGAAAATCTTTGGAATTAAACATGAAATCACGTGGTGTTAGACAAACAGATAGCGAAACTAATTTTCTGGGTTATGCATTAGATGCCAACCGAGGACTAGCAAAGACAAAAACATATGGAGCGAACTCTGTTTGGTCAGATCTACTTTTTCATGCTAACCAGTTTAATGGATCAAGGATGGTTTTGCTGTGGTTGTCGTTAATGGCAAGGAGTTGAATGGGAAAGATTTGAAAAGAGGAATCGAGGGGGAATTGAAGAAACAGGATATCATTAAAAGCTGTGAGCTCCGCATGCAAGGAAGTTATATAGGAATTGAGAATATAGACAAAAAAATTTCTCATCAAATTTATTACGGATGAAAACTCTCTGATAGTTTAGTCAAATTTATTCTACGTGCACGTATGAATCAAATTCCTTGTAATCAGCTAATTCATATGTGGAATAAGAATCACGATAAAAGATGTTCAATGTGTAATGAAAGGACTGAATCAATGGCACATTTAATGAATTCCTGCAGAAAGTACAAAGATTTATACTCGCGAGGCACGATCGGGTCGTAGAATTCTTATGCCAAAAAATCCAAAAAAATAATTCAACATCAACGTTATTTGTCAAAAAAAGGTAGAAACAGCTTTTCCACACATCAGAAATGCATTGCGACAGCTAAACCAAAAGAAGCCTGATATACTAGAGTTAAAAATGAACAAGAGAGAATGTGAAATTGTTGAAGTCACTGTCCGCTTTGATTTGTGCATGTATCTAGGCTTGAAAAGGCTAGGACTATCAGGGGAAGAGGCAAAAGAAACAATGAAGTGGTGCAGTGTATCAAACATGATTTGTGGTAGCATCGTATGGCGAAATAGGTGCAAAAAAGTGCATGGATAATGCTAATTTCTGCAAGGAACATATTTGGCTATAAAACATTTACAGTTTGTTCTTAACTTGTCATATCATATCCAATATTACTATAATTATTATTATTATCATTATTATTATTATTATTATTTTGTTGTTAATTTCTTTTTTTGTGCTTGTAATAGTCTTTTTCTTTGTAAACTCAGGCTAGCCAATTGCAAATTACCTTTGTAATAGTGAAATTTGTAATTGTAGTTTTAATTGAATTGAAAACTAAAAGTTTCCATTATTATTATTATTTTTATTATTATTATTATTATGGAGTTGAAACTCTGAACAACTACTCTGAACAACTATGTGAACAACTGCGTCAACAAGGTACAAATTTTGTGAAACAAGTTCATGTCTGAGGCTGGGGATTCTTGCTCAAAGTGAAGTTATCATTTCATCAAAGCAATGAAGTATGTTTGATTTTACCTGTGAATAGAGGTTTGCTCATCTTCACCCATCCTAATTCGTATATAGGAGAGATAGCTGCTTCTAGAGTGCCAAACTCAGAATCGATGCCAAGTAAAATCAACATAATGAAGAAGAGAGCAGACCAGAATGGGGAACCATCCATGAGCAGAAGAGCATCTGAAAATGTCATGAATGCAAGTCCAGGCCCTGACCCAAGCTGTATGCAAATCAAAGAAACAAATCATGTTAAAAACAATATATTCATGTGACTAAGAAAAAGAGTAACAAAAAGAAAATTATTCTACCAACATTTCTAGAGGTTGCTGTGATTTCAAACACCCATTAAAAACATCTAAATATAACAAATAAATAAGAATTACAAATATTTTAGTAATACCTACATAAAACCCCAGAAAGAAAAGACCAAAATAAAGCAAGTAACAGTGCAGGTAATATTAGATTTGCGGGCATGCTGGTAATTGAAAAGTAAAGGCCTTCGATGGCATGCCATCCATAATCTTTAGACCTTAAAATTGTTATTACCTGAGACCTGATAGTTTTATAAAAAAAGTATATAAGAATGGCTTTCTGAAAAGAAAACTTTTGTGTCATACTTAAGCTTTTCATCTCACACTCTTCAGAGTATAAAATAACAGATCATAGATTGAAAACTCTATTATGCTAGGAAAAATATAAACCCAGTTGTGGATTGAAATAGGCCAATCAGAAACGCGAGCACATGACTGTTGAGGTTGCCCAATCAGTGCTGCCCTACCTGTTGAAAATGTTACCAATGGAGTCCTTAGGTGAAAACGAACTCCTTCTGTCTACACTGTTTAGATAGAACCTATTTTCAAATATAGAACTTTTGAGCTTAACAGAAACGACTAAGTCATTTCTTCAAACTAGCTTGAAGCATAACAGACATCTATAGAACTTGCTTATAGTTTTACTTAAATAGCTCATGTACTGATGCTCTAAAATAAAATACAATGACCTCAATCAAAGCGTCAATCAGACATTCAAAGCATGCCTAGGTGGTTCTAGGCAATGTGCAATTTCACACATAATAGTAGCAGTATTGAAGTACAGACCAATATACTCCCTTGCATTATCACCTACTTCTTCTATTTCTGCAAAAACTGGTTGGACAATGAAATAACATTTTAGGTAGCTAAAAAAGCAGCTTAAACAAACAGTAGCTGTGAGCAATCGCACCTTGCGAGCATCTATTCCTGTTTTGTGTTCCCTGTAACCAAGAATGGAGAATACCACAATGCCTGCAAATAGTGAAGTACCACAGTTGATGAAAACAACAGTGTAGGCATCCCTGATGCAATTGTTTCTCTCAGGCATATAACTTGCAAAGGCAATTAAAGCACCAAATCCAAGGCTGAGGGTGAAAAACATTTGAGTCGCAGCATCCATCCAAATCTGAGGATCTTTCAACAAACTGAACTGTCATAAAAGTAGATGTACATCATTGCAATTTATCAATGCCTAAAGAAACCTTGGCTTGTTAATAACATAGCAGCATGTAACTCTAGTCAAATCTTGAATCTTGCCATTAGTGCTACACAGATGGAAACAAAACAATACATAATACAATTTTTCATAAACTGACACTGATATATTGTTTTACGTGATCTTCATTTTCGTAATAATACTTTGGTTGAAAAATTGAAGTCATTTTCCTATTCTAAACTATTGAACAAAATTAAAACTAAATTTTCAACAAAAGATAGAATTAAAAAGCAAAGTGAATGCCTTATGAATCCAAATTAACTTACATCTGGCTCAAAAAATTTGCGAATCCCATTGCCAGCACCCTCTAGCGACACTCCTCTGAAGAAGAATATTATCAGAACAACGTACGGAAATACTGCAGTAAAGTACACAACCTATAAAAAAGAAAGTTATTTTCAAAACAATGTTTAACATATGGAAAGCAAGCAGCAATCATTCCACTCTATGATGGAATAAACATTTATATTACAAAAACTACCTTGGCTATGGTGAATTCTCCATTGTTGGCTTCAGAGATTCCTGGCTCATTTCATTGGGCTGTTTGGCTCACTGGAATAAGCGTCGGTTTTTCAAGCAGCAAACTGGAGTTTTGGTTTGAACAATGTTTACTTATCAGAAAATGCACTCATTGTCACTTATGTTGTGATCTTTCCTTGGTTATACTGATACTTACCAAAAACAGGGAGTTTAAATAGACATCTTACAGTTTTCTATTGAAACACTGTTCTTTAATATTCTTTTGTAAAATATAAACTAAACATTATTAAAATTATTAACCAGTTAAAAAACTCTGAGCGTGACAGTATATGTAACTAGAGCACAAACCTTTCCACTTGACTGGATTCCTTTGACAACACACAAATAGGTGACAACCCATGCTACCACTAAGCACACTACCAGCTTAGAATTTAAGCCAACACCGGCATCTTCTATATTAGATGAAACTTGTAATGTTCGATGATAAAAATACCACATTGGTGCATCTTTAACACAACAGTCAGGAAAACTGTTCAGCATTAATTTTAAGCTTGTAAGATTCTGGGATACATCTGGCAATGATTTGTTCATTTTTTCTAATACACTTATTTGGTTTTTCAGACTTTGGTATGGTTTGTAATTCACACAGTTTTTCTTGTCCCAAGGAAGACTTTTTTGAAACGACATGAAAAAGTAATAAACACACCAACTCAGCACAATGACGTAGTATATACAGAGCATGAACGACACAGCAAGACAAGATAATCCAATGCCAAAAAAAGCTGGGTGAATCTCCTTCCAGGCCAGAAGTGCAGTTTTCCTTAATCTTTGGCCAATTGCAAATTCAATCATAAACAATGGAATGCCTTCAATTACCATAAAAATGACATAGGGGATCAGGAAAGCTCCTAAAACAAGATCAGATACTTTATGTCAGTAAGGGGCCAACTTCCATTTTGAAACAGTAATTAAAAAGAGATAGCTAATCAACATACAATTCAATAACAAAGATGAATTCTTATTAATGCCCATATATTTATTTGATCCAATCTAAGTTGTTCTCGTTTATATGTAGATTGATTACAGGATCTCTATTATCCATATTATGTTTTTTTTAAATTTATCAAGAAACCAAGGATCATGCCTTGAGTTTTGGCTGCATTAAGGAACAGTCTATTACCTTCCAACCAAATCTGAAGCTTTTTAAGATCTGAATTAACTGCTTCATTCATCTCGGCTATAGATTTTGATGAGTACAAAATGCTTGTGTCATCAGCATACATGGTCACTTTTGTGCTTTGCAATGCACATGGCAAGTCATTTATATATATATCAAAAATAGTAGTGGACCAAGGCACGATCCTTGAGGTATGCTGCAGTTCACGTTTGCTATTTCTGATCTATGTCCATTTACTTTACAACCTTGCTTACAACCCTGTAGGTACGATTTTAACCAATCCAGCTCCTTTCCCTGCACTCCATAATGACAAAGCTTTTGAATGAGAATTGCATGATCTACAGTATCAAAGGTTTTTTTCAAGTCAATAAATACTACAGATGAAAGGAATCCTTTGTCAAAATCATGGTACCAGTCATTACCACTTTTCAATAAGCATGTCAAAACTGAGTGCAGGGCCCTGAAGCGGGATTGACGTAAGTAGAACTTATTATCCTTGAAGTAGGTGTAAAGTTAGTCAAAAATTGTCTTCTCAAAAAGACATGAAGCAACCGGGAGCACGGATAAAGGTCTGTAGTTTGACCTGCTTTCAGTAGGCCCCTCTTTATAGATAGGAGCTACTCTAGCAACTTTACAGTTGTTTGGAAATAAGCCCTCTGAAATAGATTTATAAAAATATACTACTCAGCACAAGTGTGTAAACAGGCATCCCTATTTTAAGAAAATAGCTGGAGATGCCATCTGTTCCAAAGCTCTATGATACCTTAAATTTTTGCATAGCCTTCATAAGGTATTCAGCAATTTTCATCCAAACAAATATCTGGCTTGTAGTATTTCTAACTGATTTCAGAACCTTGTTGAATCTTTTTGAGAACTGAAGATCTTCTAAATCGTTTAGGGGTAAAATGTTAAGATTTCAGTGTAAAGCAATAAGGAGTGTCCTTGCCTCAAATATAAGTCTAAACAAAAAATTGTTGCATTGCCTCCAAGTCCATTTTTAATAGGTTATATTACTTTATATTAGTGATCAGTCATTAACATTAAGTTTTACTTATATCTTGCTGATTAGTATCTTCTGTTAGATTGTTATATGGATAATATATTTCTACGTTAATACAAAAAGATTGAGCATACTAAGAAATGATTACCAATGAAATTTGGAGATAGCTTCGGCGGTTCCGACACAATGTTTTTAGGCCATTCTAGATGATATAGTTTCAAAAATTTTCTTCCGCGTTGGAACAAGCCATGGTGGGAACAAACCTCCTACGATCAACCCCACGCCCCAGTTGTTTAAAAAGTTGCCGTGTTCCAAAAACTTGTGATTTTTCGACAATCTGATGTTAGCATTATTCCTGCCAAAGACCCAAAGTCAGGTCAGGCTTTTACCGTTGGAATCCAGAGAATCAGATAGATGTCAAAAAGGCGGTCTTCGTGTCTTCGCCACAAAGTGGCGTAATGACATAGCGGCACAAGAGGCGATGTCAACAAAAAAACATACGAATAGGCCTATGCAAAGACGGAAAGTAAAGTAACTACATGAAAAAACATCAGAAAATATTTTAGAATATTTTAAAGCTTGTAGAAAGATTTGCATATCGATGCTTTCAATACGAATATTTATTTCATACAAAGTTTGAGATTTCCCATTGGATTCCCAAAGTTTGAAAAAGAAATCAAGCAGGGTTCAATTCAACCGCTACTTCCGATGTTAGTTAAATCTACATTTTGCTGCATGGTAAGCTCAAAAATTGTATAGGTAATATTTAGAAATCAGTTGACTTACCTCCACCATTTTTCTGGCACAGGTAAGGAAATCTCCACACGTTACCGAGGCCAACTGCCAAGCCGATGGATGCGAGCAAGAACTCTGCTTTATGACCCCAAGAATCCCTAGCGGGCTCAATCTGTATGTCTTCCGTCTTAACTGCTTTCATTTCAATTGCGTCTGTATGTAAAAACCAAGCTTAAACGCTAGTAAGTACTTCAAAAACCAAGGGCTTTTTTAACTTAAAGGATATGAAATTCAAATAAAAATAAAACGATAAGAAAACTTACTTTCTGGTTGAGGTGCCATTGTGATGCCCTTTTCGATGAAAATTACTTGGTTTATTTCAGTGATCCAGACGTTTTGAAAATATATTCAGTCCACCTATTGCCCCTTTCCTTACAGAGGAGTCTTTCGATTCGAGGGCAGAATTCCACACGATCACTCTCCACGAAATTTCGTTTGAAAGAAAGGTGAGTCAACATAATTCGTAATCAGTGGGCCGAAGATGCGCAACTTAAAAGACGGAACGGGAATGGAGGAACACTATTTCGATCTTCCATTACACTAAACCAGCTTGTTAAGAGGTCAGGGGCGTCCTGACTGGGGGACAGAGGGGGCCGTGGCCCTCCTGTTTTCAAAATTTGACGGATTTTCGAAAAATTCACTGTTATGTCGGAAAATTCTCAAACATGAGCTGTGGTTAAAAAGAAGAAGTGAAACGAACCTTTTACAGTTTTAGCGACATAAATTACATGTTTGAATAAAGAAAAGGTCACAATAGCAGTCTGCTCGACGGACTCCAAGGTATTCTCGCGGCGAAAAATCGATGAAAATGTCGCAAATAAGAAACACCGCAATGCGAGGAGAATGAACAACAACAAATACACGTAAATCAGTGAAGGCTAATATTTCGCCCCGGCATCCGGGGGCCTACGGGACTTCATCATCTGGAGCAACAGTGAAGGTATAAATTACTTGGACCAAAGTGCTTGCAGTATTGTCGAGGGACGATTCACTTTTGTAAAGAAAACACAAGATTTCTGCAAAAACAAAATGATTTCTCAGGAATTACCGATCTCTACCATAGAGTGATTGCTGCTCGAATTTTGTCATTTAAAATCCGAATCTTCAAGCGCCAAATTTGGTTATGGAAAATGGTCATTATTGGTCATAAATTATATTCTTATTGAATATTGAAGACCGGGACAGTGCTAATTTTGTGCCTATCACTAGATTTAATTGAAGATTTTGTCCCAGATTTGAAAAATCACGCAGTTATGTTGCATAAAGCAAACATTGAAAATAAGAACAAGGAAGCCGATCAATACCATCGCTTTCCGCCAATGGATATTCATTATAAGGCCCTGTTCACACGGTACCGGATTCATTTCGTATCGGATTCACTCCTGTTCTCGTGAGGGAAAAAGCCAGAATAGTCGTGCATTTAATGAAGAAAGCATAAAAATTGGCATACCTATAGATTTTGAAATGCTGAAAATAATGAGATCGGGATCCCAACTGTAAAATACCCCAAAGTGCTTCTTTAGCCAATGGCGCTCGGACCCAGTCCTCTGCAACAAATTCTACCAATTTTTAATCATTCTTCTATATCAAAAGCATATAAAGTTGCAGAAGTGTATAATCAGGCATCTAAACAAAATAATATTGATATCTAAAAAATAAATTCTATTTTCAGATGGGATTTTTGGTCCCAAACCTCCAAGAAAGGTGATGATTATTTCCCTGTGGTACTCGGCAGCAAAATATGAAAATTACTAATATTATAGAGATAAAGCTCCTCATAGCGATAAAAATAATTGCATCTTTTAAATTGCCCCACAACCTATTTTTAGAAAAGGGGTACTTGGATCCAGACCTCTACAAACGTTTCAATTTTTCGTCAAGCACGCAAATTTCATTGTCCCAGAGGAGTTTTATTCAAATCATTAATTCGCCGTTTTCCTTATTCGCTCGGAGCGCAATGCATTCTGGTACTTATAGTTAACAACAACACGGCAATCGGTGCGCTCTTCAAATCATTGCAAATATCGCTCAATCGCACTCAGGGCCGTCACCAGCGGGGGGTTCGGGGGGTGCGGCACCCCCCTAAAAAATTCTTGTCGGCAAATTTTTTAAAAGTAGAGTTTTGTCGGGTTTTACTTTCGAAGTTCTCAATGCGATAGTTTTAGCAAAATGTTTGGATAAGATGAGGATAAGACCGAAAAAGTATCACCCAAAAACCCTCAGCAATTCAAAATAGGTATAGATGGCGCTATGGGTGTCACGGAGGGGCAAATGTCCAGCAAAAATTTCAAATGACTCCCTGTCGGCAGCCTGAGTCTAGAATCTAATGTCCAATATCCAGGGCGACCTAATTTCTACCTAATGTTTGGGGACAAAGTTTATTGAAAATCTCTGAACATTGATCCTGGAGGTACAGAAAGCGACTGTAAGCAGGGCTGCCGAGGGGAGCAAGGGGGCAAAGTGCCTCAGGGCCTTGCGGTCGAGGGGGCCTCAAGTAGTAATGAACTCCATTTTAAGAATGAAATCAATGAAACGTAGAAGAAGTATGCCTAAAAATAGTTAAGACAATCTTATCAAACCGAAAAGTGTTCTTATCAAAAACATTTTAAGACAATCTAAAGGGCGTGGTCACAAAAAAAATCTGCTCGCTCCGCTCGCAGGGGCCTCGTCTTTCGGCTTTCCTTCAAGGCCTTTCAAACCTCTTGGCGGTCCTATTAGTAAGATCTACTCATATAAAACTAAGTACCCACAGTCATTCGAAAACTGAAGTGATGATTGACAAACGAGAACATACTCTTTGATAAACAAAATCAATTGCGTCAAAATACCACACCCAAAAATTGAAATGCCTTAGGCCACGCCCCATTTTGTCGGCAAATTTGTGACTGGCACCCCCCTTAGTGAAAGTGATTAGCGACGGCCCTGATCGCACTGTACGGCTATTTACAATTTAAAAGATGGATAACCTTTCAGTTACCCAAGAAACAAATACAGATACTTCTTCAAACAATCGCCCTAGTTTTTTTCAAAACTCTAGCCCGGGGCAACTCGCTGTATTACAGCAAGAAGAAGTACCAGAAGCTACCAGCAAAATGGCGGTACGGAGTGACGTTACCTTCGATGATAACTTCATTGATCTCAGAGATGGAAGCTGGACCGTTGATTTTAAATGTATGCCTAGATTTACGGAAAGCCGTTTGAATGAGAAACTTATTGATAACGCAATGAACATGCCTGATCATATTGCACCGAATGCCTACAGAAACAAGCTCCAAGGCTACAAGTTGTGGAAAGAGGGGTACTTGAGCAAAGTGAGGGTCAAACCAGATGTTGAATATGGTTGCGTTACATTGTTTTTGATAAAAACATTTGTTTCTGCTTCAATGAAGAGCATTAAATACATAGTTTATGCACATTTAGACCAATCCACAGGAACAGTAGTTAAAGCAAAATGCAACTGTAAAGCTGGACAAGGTGGTTGTTGTAAACATGTTGCTGCCCTCCTGTATTCTCTTCTGGACTTTTCGAATTTGGGCCTGCCTTGCGTTCCAGAGGATTTGACCTGCACTCAGGTACTTCAAAAATGGTGTGAACCTGGAAGAAAACTTAATTCAACTGTTGCTGTCAAATTTGCAGACTTGAGCTTTGAGAAAGCTTGCCTGAAATAGACAAGTCTTGCAAGCGTAAAAGGCCAGCAGTTTCAGGTAGCCGAACAGATTTTTGTGCAACCCCTCCGTTTGCAAAGGTTGTTACCAGTAGTAAAATTCAAAATTTGTATGAATCTTTAGAGAAGGCTGGGAAAGCCAACTTACTAGCTCAAACCCTGAAAGGCAATGAGTTTAAACCTTGTGACATTTTTTAACACTCTGGAAAGCCAGCACAAGAATTAGCACCATCCAGCAATTATTTGGAAATGTCATATGATATTTTCAAAAACATGCATGCAAAGATGGATTCTGGTTATTTTGCCAAGACCACTTCAGCCAGTATAGCCCATAATGTTGAAGTCACTTTACAAGATACTAAAGTGATTGAAAACGAAACAAGAAAATAGGCAAGCAGCCACCGCTGGTTCTTAGAAAGGTCAAAGCGAGTGACAACATCCCTTTTTGGCAGAATCTTAAGAAGAAGGGAAAATGTGTTTCCAAAATCTATTCTTGATCAAATAGCTAAAAGGAGGGATGGAACTGGGCCAAATACAGCAGGGTTACAATGGGGCATTGAAAAGGAAAAGGTAGCTTTAGAAAGGTACAAAACAGAATTCTGCCACCAAGGTAATGTTGTTGAGTGGGGTCTGATGATCAACCCAAAATGACCATGGCTTGGTGCAAGCCTTGATGGGTTGATAATTCAAGATGGGATGCTATATGGCTATCTTCTGGGTGCAAATTGTGTCAAAAAGCTTTCTTAGCATGGGGTATTAGTGCAGAGTCCGCGAAAGGCTTCCAAAATGCATCTGTGCCAACATTCTTAAGAATGTGCGAGTATAGAAATGTGCAAACCTATGCTCCCATTTTCTTTCTAAAATAAGTTATTTGCACCTAGTCGGTTGAAAATGCCTGCAGGTACTTGCTAGAAAATGCTTAAAATATTATCTAATGTCAGTGAGTAATTTCGAATTGTCACACAAAATCGACATCCTGGCTTCTTCGAAGCACTGCCCATTGCACATGCACAATTCCGTACATTCCAAACCAAACTGTCTGCATTTACATCTTGTCGAACATTTCTGCTTACATCCACATTTGATAAGCTTCTGACATGCCTTTGAGGCTTCTGTGACAATCATCCATAACGATGACACATTTTCAATCGTCGTATTCCAACTCCATGCTGTAATCGGAGGTAGGTGCTCCGTCCGAGGCGGCACCATGGTTGCCGCCGAAGGGGAAGAACTTTGAATTTTAATGCTTCCAGTTTGCTGGAAAATGCACTTTTTGAAGCACTTTTTCAATAACGCAAGCTTTCTCTTTAATAAATATCCACAGGCTGAAAGCTATTTGATGGTTTTAATCGATTTTCCGGTCTTTTAGCTTATGCAACACAATTTTCTTCAGATTTGGACTTAATCTCTCCGCTTTTCCTTACTAGCATTTCTTTTCATGAAAGTTTATCATAACCTTTTGCACCCTCTCAATATTTTTATGAAATGGCGCCTTATCTGAACTTCTACCTCCAAGCCAAAAAATTTTTGACGGGCAACTTAAAAACACTCCCACACCCTACCTCGGTACGCCCATGGTATCTACTTTGTGTAAAAATCATTTAGATTTAGCGTGGGATCTTGAGATGGTGTTTGAGGATCGTTGCTCTGTACATCAAAGTGAGTAAGGAAAAAGAAGTGGTATGTTGCAAGGTGATTCTTGTTCTCTTCGAAGCGATTTATCGTGGATTTTATAGTGTCTGTCTTTAGTATTGTTGTATTCTTTTATGTAAATTGCCCTAGTTCGGTGGCCATTATAACATGAAAAATTCATTTTAGCGCCCATGATATTTGATCGGCAGGGGGGCAATTGCCCCCCTTGCCCCCCCTGCCAGCTCGCCACTGCGTAGGTGGGGCTTAAGGCTAATCTCCATTGGGCGAAATTTTTTCGCTTTTGCGCTGACGAAAGACGAAAACTACATGGCGCACATTCTCCAGCTCACAATAGCTTTGCGTGCCAAAAAGAAAGCAAATACTTGCGTGACAAGCATTTCAAGATGTCGGATGAGAATACAAATCTTCTGATTTTGCTTTGTTTATTCAAGCGTAAGAAACAAAGAAGCCAAAAGCAAATCAAAGGTTTTGGGTACATAAATTCTACCAACAGAAATCTGGTTATAGATCTATAATTATATGACCGCCAGCTATTTTGCAAAATGAAATAAACTGATTTAATTGTACTTCAAAGCAGCAATCATTTTTTTTCATCTTCATTTCATTTCAAAAATCTTTATACAGGAATTCCCTATCAGCTATAATACAAATATAAATAAACTACTTCTATTACAATTACTTCTTTAAACATGGAAATTGTGGGGCTCATTCTGATGTTTCTTGGAATCTCATTCCATGCTTTGGCCCCAGAGTGAAAGAAACTTCCCTTTGAGAATTCCAAATTTTGCCTTGGGATGTTAAGGTAGTAATTCACACTTTTAAAAACTTGCACTGAGGCAGACACATATGGACATAAATAAAAGGTTCCTTCATGTAACACATTCAACTTTTCAAGAGTGAAAGTTGAAGATATGATGCAATTGAAAATTAAGATTTTTTTAAGAAAAATATTAATTATGCTAATTAATGCAAATTTTAACGACGCGCTCTTTTTTTCTTGGGAAGTCGATAACTTTTTAATGGAATCTCCTATTCAGCTCAAATTTTTACTGTGTATTCCACTTGAGTGCATGTGTGCAATGAATAGACAATTCCTGAATATTTTCACTTAAAAAGGAACTAATGGCAAAAAACCATGTTTCCATGGTAACGGCTACCATATTTGAAATTTGAAAAATTCCTCTATTCATTCCACTTTTCATATTATTTGCTACAGACTGTGAAAATTTCAAGAAGATTGCTTATCATATGTAAAAGTTATCTCCTGCCCAATTTCATGATTCCCAAAAACAGTGTTTTTGAGAAAATTGACTTTAAAGTTTTGGCTATCTTTTTCAATATTCTTGGATCTATCTGGGGCCATAACTTCATATTTACCCCCAGTTTGGCCTAAAAAAGACTAAGCATTATTTAATATACTTATTTTGCTAATAAGTTTTCAAATTTTCACTATATTCTCCAAAGGAACTGCAAATGTTATTGGGATGTCTGTTACTATGTCATCAGAAACAGATTGGTCAACTTTATTTTGTTTGCTGCAATCAGAGTACTGATTTCTCTTTCTTCTTTTAGTTGAGATTGGCTTTTCACCTCTACTGTCAAAGGCCCCAGGTTCATAATGTTCTTTTTCAGATCTTTTCATGTTAGTTTTGGTCCTTTTTCTACTTATTCGCCAACTCTTATACTTTGAAGTGACTTTCTGTGCTGCAGAAATTTGGCGAATGTGGTCTTCCTTCTGAAGAGACTTCAAAGATTCCTCTCCAATATCCTCAATTCCAGCTTCTTTTAACATTAGTGCCCTTGATCCAGCACCAGTGTTAAAACAGCAAACTGCTTCTGATACTGCAGACTCTATTCTAACTTTGCTACAGAAGGTTGCTTTGGGACACCTTTCCCAGATCATATGGTTTAGACTCTCATTTGCATTTTGCGTTACACCTTTCAGGCATCTCTCAAGCAAATCCTTTGATGTCAATCTTTTGAAGATAGGCTCTAAAATGTCAAAAAAGGAGCTTGGTAATCTTTTGCTTCCATCATAACTCTTCTTGCCAGTAATTAGCTCTGCATTAAATTTGCACCAAGAGTCTTTGCCTTTAGGGCAAAATTTGTGCTGATCATTAAGGGTAGATGCTGTTGCTGGCATGACTGAATGGTGAAAAATTGCCCAAACATCATTCTGCATCTGAGCCAGGTTACCTCTGTTGGCTCTTATGGAATTACCAAAATACCTTTGGAAACTGTCAATTCTTTCTTTTGTCAATCTCCCTTTACCACCTATTGTTTTCCCATCTAACATCTTTTTACCTTTCATTTCTTTCAGAAGTGTTCTTAGGGCATTTCCCATACGCTTCTGTATATGTCCTATGCATTCCTCCTTTACAACCTGATACCTGCTTCCATAAGCTCTTTCCAATTCCTTACTCACAACCTTGAAGGTGTCACTGTCACCATCTCCAATAAAAGTTGTATATTTTAATCCCCTTCCTTCAATTGATCTTAGGAAAATTCTGGCTGCACCAATTCCTTCCATACCACCAGATGACCCTTCATAATTTATTTGACAAGAGGCATCGTGATTTGCTTTCCACCTTTTAAAAGCTTCACTATCTTTATTTTCATGTTGATGTTTTCTGCATTCATGGCAATGCATTGACAATACTTCAAAATCGACAACCTCGCCAGTTTCCATTAGAACCACGACAACGACTCCATACTTAGAAGAGTATCCTCGTTTTTGCCATGTTCCATCAACACTGACAGCAACAGAAATAGTATTATCCATATCATCTAGATAGGCATTGGGATTCTGTTCCAAAACACTTTTCTTAAGACGATTTGCTGCATCCTTCATCTGTTTTTCAGCAACTTCTCTTGAAATTTTGGCAGAAGACTTCAACTGCCTTGCATAGGAAGCACTAGTTAGTGGTGAAGGTAAATTCATCATTCCACAAAAATTTGAAAGAATTTTGCGTCCACCTTTCAAAGAATTGCATGCCATGACTGATCTTGTGTTTACTTCGAATTTACCTTTGTCTAACTTTTTGCTGGTGTGGAAGATTGTCTCTGCTGAGCAACAAGAACACTTAATGATCAATGTCTCAGCAAGCCCATGCTTCTTTCTGCTATCCTTCAAGATCTTCAACTGAGAATCTGATCTTTTACAAGCTCTACAATTGGTAGAGGATTGCAAAGCTTCTTGGAGCAGAGACAGATCAATAATAGTGAAACCATCAGCTTGTTCAATTTGCTTTTGCTTAGAAAGGCCCATTTTCTTCGATGATCTTCTTGTAAGCACCCTCATACTATCATTTAGTTCTTCAAACGATGAATTCAACAATTTTTGTGCTGTCCTAGATTGAACTGAGCTCATTGGTGTGAAAGACGAACTGGGCTCCACATCGTCACTAGGCCTAGGCCGAGTGTCAGATTCAAGTCTACTAGCAATATCCTGCTTGCGAATGCCAAAAAACCTCCTTTTCCTCTTAACTCTACTTGCTAGAGCCCTTCTTTTATTCGGTGGCATGTTTTACTTATAATATCGATTCAATAAAGGCATTATCAGAATAAATTTGTATTCCGTTTCGCAATCCAACATCTAAGTGACTGTAAAGTGTGCGAATTTGGCGTGTTTCTCAGCCTCTGATCGCAAAAGAGGCTACCACAGGGTGTTCATAAGATGTTTATCATTCCACAGGGAAAGCCTGCAGGCTTGGGGGTAATTTCTTACAAAAAGACACAAAAATGAGCTCCTTAGCAACGCTAAAAAGTCGTTGCTAAGGAATAAACTTCCGACTACTGTCGAAAAACAAGTTAATTGTGTCTAAACCTCAATGTGGTTGTCAAAATAACTATTTCTACCGAATTCTACGATAATTTTGGCGTAGAATGAAACAAAAAAATGAAAACTGAAAATTTTTAGAAAATGCTTTTTCAAAAGTGTGAACTACATCCTTAATATCAAGCTGATTCCTTGTCGAATACCTGGATATCTCTGATCTAATGATAAAATTAACGTCTAAGGCTGTCAGGGCAAAGACCGTTCATCTTTTTGTACGTCATTATGGCCCTGTCATATTTAATTAGATTCGAAACTGAAAGCCATTTACAAATCCACCCGTCCTCAAATTTAGCACTTTCAATTAATGTTTGAGCCCTGTCTTGAAGACGCTGAAGATGTTCAAGCTTTGTAGCGGACTGACTTCCCCATAATTCATCACCATATCTTAGATGGCTCTCGAAAAGTGCCCTGTAAACCTGGTCCGATTTCGACTGTGGGAGTATGTTTTTAAGTTCCCTGAACGAAGAAAGACCACTTTTAAGTTTACACTTAAGCCTCTTGTACTGCTTGTTCCAAGATATATTTTCATCGATAGTGACCTCGAGATATTCTACTTCATTGGCTCGTTGAATTTTTCTCGATATATTTCCACGTTTATCTCCTCCTAGATATATTCAATTCGTCTTTTATGACCAATGACCATATATTCAGTTTTATTGGTGTTCAGACTAAGCTTGTTTTACTTAGTTTTTAAGTCATTGCACAGTTCCTCGATGTCTTTTGCAGAGTGGATGAATCACGAAAGAGATACATTAATAAACTGTTGTTAGGTGGGTTCTCAATGGCAAATATAAAGAAATGGTCATCAAATAGCTGTTAAAAATGAATCAGTAGCCTCGCCAGCCAGCACCGTCTCCACTGTTGCCAGATTGCGATGTCTTCATTAACTCATTATTCATTGTCAACCAGACATCTGCAATTCAGTCGTGAGGGCATGGTGGACACTGGGCATGACGGACACTGGGCTGCAAAGGGGATGTCGCCTAATAGTTTTCAAGTAAAAGGACAATTTTAGTGCTAAAATAAATTTAAAATATATCCTCAAACTCTGAACTCAAACAAAAATTTCAACATACTAAGCTAATTAAACATGTTTGTCATACAATGCAAACATACAGTAGAAACCCGCATAGAAGAACCTAGGTTTTTCCTGACAGCCTGAATAGGTTCTAAATTAACAGGCTGCTGTTCTAAATTCCAGTCTAAAAGGTTCTTGCAGGCCCGTCGGAACCGGGAAGGCTGGGGGGCTCCAGCCCCCCCCCCCAATGATTGTCAGACTGTAGTATATTTCCTTTATAACAGTGTACTAAATGTGAAGGAATACAATGGGCAGCCCCCCCCCCCCCCCCCCCATATGAATTTCATTCCGACGGCACTGTCTTGACAAGGTTCTTATATACGTACAGGCCTTGCACACATTAACAATGTTTTTCACCGCAAGAATTCTAACGGACACACTTAAACCAGATTTGTTTTTCATGTTAAATTTCAACCAATCAAATGAATTTGTGTTTTGAGATTGTCCCTACTCGAATGCGACATACCATAACCTGATTTACTCTAAGCATGTTTAATTTGCCAGGATGAATAGCAGGGGCGGATCCAGTGGGGTGCGAAGGGGGCTCGAGCACCCCTCAGATTTGAGAACAAACTTTTTGAGGATTAAAGCTTATTCTACCGCAATTTTGTTTATTATTATTTAAACCATTTAAATAATACCGGGAAGTATGCACATCTCCTGAAATTGTTATTTCCGCTTCAATGCCCCGTCTCACAACTGTTCAACATTGTTATTTCAGTCCATGCATTGAAGTGTTATGAAACTCCCCCTGGTTGTCCTGTATAGCATTCTACAGACTCGGAAAGCATTGTCTCCTCTTATATCCAGCCATTTAAGGAACCCGTGGCCTGTAAATTATACGAGTTTCTGCACCCGTGGAAGTGAATCTAGCCAATC